TGAGCAATTCAGGCTATTTTTCCTCTCTTATAACTCGGTGTGGACTTTGTTGTACCAACAAGGACCATGTGTTCTTGCACTGAGGACACTCCTATGTAGCATGGCTATGCTGCAAATTGCTCTAGGTTGTAGAATATAATAAAAAGTTTCTGGCAACACAGGCTTTAGAATAAACAGGTCTCCAGTCCCAAATGCTTCTAGCTAATACACGTCTCTACAGCAGAGTGAGAATGTGGTTCCAGGCTTCTTCCATACAATACAATGGTCAGCAGCAATGCCTGAATGGAGAATAGAATACCTCCTGAAGCAGAACAGGAGAAAAAAGTTCCTCCTGCGTTCAGGACTCTCTGAGATTAATGCTCTGCAACTGCTAATTTACTGTTTACATCAGTCCACTTGCCCAGCAGTTCTTTTCTCCTGAAGGTGGGATACCTAGCCAGGTGTTGCTCACATTTGGAGATTCCTCCTTGACTTCCCAGTATGGTTCTGACTGTGGAGCATGGGCCTGAATCATGAGGGCAACGAAGAACTAATCCCAAAGAGTCCTTTTAGAGATATCTTATTTGCTCATTTAAGAATACCTATTTTTCCCTGAAACTTGTCAGGGATGCAGACATTTCTTGAGCCTATTGTGAAAGACCATTAATTTGCATTTTTGCAGGGCACGGTAAACCAGCAGAGATTTTGACATACAGATTGTGCAGACCAGGACATGACCCACTTCTGAACCAAAAAGCCCCATAGCTCTGCTGGGCAGCATTGCATAAGCTTGAGCACAGCTCCCTGAGCCTGCAGCCGCTGCTGTGCAGCCATTTCAGCAGAGAGGGAGCACAGGTTTGTCTGCAACGCTTTGTGCAGACACAGCTGGAGTCTATCAGTACAGTTTTCTAAATTCAGGTGCAGATTTTGCATGGATACAAGACTGTATGTAGTTTTACTTAAGCATATTTTACCAGCTACATCTGTCAAAGACAAAATTTTGATTTTAAGTGTGAATTATTATTGCTCTGAGCAGCCTCCAGAGAAATAGCATGATGGATTCTCTACAGGTTTTTCTCTGTGTTGCTTCTTTTCCGTTTGTCACTTGTAATGCTGTTTGTAACTGCTGGGAGGTGTACAGCTGTTCCCACCTTCACTTTAAAGAAAACTTGATTATTTTTAGTTTCTTCTTTACACCCAGACTAAGGCCAGCCCTTTTTCTGTCACTTCTCAGTCTGTAGATGATTCTCCAACCAGTTTAGGCAGAGAGTTCAACAGGGCATTGTGAGTCACACTTCCCTTTTCATGGTATTTTTGGAACTATCAGAAATCTTTTAAATACGTTCTGACAATTTGAAGCAGAAAAAGCTGCAGTTGCCTCTTTTTGATTTAACTGAATCTTGAAAGATAAGCAAGGGGGTGTGAAGGAGGATGCACAGAAACAATGCTGTCTTGACTCATTTTCTTGTCCATACTGAGTTGATGTTTCTGGCCTTTAGCTGTTTGAATTGCTTGTCGAGCAAAGCTGTAAGATCTAATGCCTCCAACAAATAATTTCTGAACAGAACAGAGAAACATGGTTATTTCAGTTCACAATGTCTGTGTGCATGACAATAATGAAATTTCAGCGTTGATGTCAACAGCACCGATGTGGGTTTTTTAAATGGTTGGAGTTTTAGCAAGTGAAGCAGTATAACTGCCCTTGAGGGGTCTGTGCCCTTTGACAGCAAAGCAGAAAAATATTGTGTTCTGCAAATCTGCCGCTCTGCTGTACTCTGGAGAACGGAGAATATAATCTAGTTTAACAAGCACTAGTGTTCTCATAATGTCAGCTAAGAAGAGGATTACAGGAGAATCAGTTTTATGTAATTAAACTTCCCTGGCATAAATAGAAATAATTTCCTTAAAAGAAAAGAAAAAAAAACAAAAACAAAGAAAAATCTCCATGACTGGAGTATTCCCCTCCCTGCCTGCAAGGCACTTCCTAACTTCTTACATTAAACAAAAAAATGGTAATTCAAACAAATCTTGGGAAATGTCACTCTCTCACTGATATGCAGTAGCATAAAAAAAAAAAAAAAAGTGTATTGAATGTGTAACAATTCCACCAGAAATGGAAAACATAACTTGACAGATATCTTGTTTTGGGTCTTCCTTTGGCAATGTCAAAAATAGAAGAGCAGAGCTTTACATAGTCCTGCAGTTCCTGCATCTTTCCCTCATGTGCATGTTGATAGGTTTTTCTCAAAGTCATGCTGATGTTAGATGCATCCTCTGGATACAGACTGGCCTTCATGCAGGAACAATGAAGAAATTGTTTCAACTATCCAGATTCAAATTTTCAACTAAAACTGTTAAAAAGAAGTATAAATAGGAGTGTAGGTTCTAGAGGGGACAGGATATGAGGGGGGTGGTATTGAGGGTGTAGGATTTTGCCTGCACCTCTGGCTTTGAATGCAGTAATAACCCTTTAGCTGGTAAATGCAAATCCAGTAGCAGCAGACCGTGCAAGGCTGAAGAGTTAATTTCAATCTTAATAGTACCACATCTTTTTTAATGCAACCTGTGGGTGCATACAACCAAAAATTTTCTCACAGTGTAACTGCAAGGACAGTACTACCAGGAAAGACGTCTGCTTCACATCAGACCCATTCCTTCTGAGGCTGCCTGCTTCTGTTCCTGTGTGTTTTCTGCTTCAACACATTTAAACACATACCAAATTGCAGTCTGGCTATGGATTTATTGCAGCAAAGGCTGCCTTAGTTCCCCCCCCCAGAGTCATGCTCTCTTCCTGCATCTCTTTTTGTCTGTTTACGCTGCTCATGTGGAAATAGAGCCACACGTTGCATCTTCTGTATTGCATGGCAGCAGTAAGGCTCTGGCACGGCACTGAAGATTCCCATTGCTTTTCACCTCTGTGCAACTCATCCTCACCGTCTTCCTTATAACTGTGTCTACAACAGTCTTCTTTGGCCTACAGTAAATACTGAAAGAAAGAAAACATTTGGAAGTGGGTTCTTCTCCCATGCAGCTCCAGGGTCTCAACAACAGTCTGCAAAACAGCTGGGTGTAAAACTGGCAAGACTTGGTCCCTCTCTTGCGTGAGGGTGATGCAGATCCTGTTGATCTGGACTGTTCGTGGTGCCTCCTGGTCGCTTAGCCTCCACACTGGGTGTTGGGCTGCGATATTGGCACAGAGATCATGAAACTGTGCTAGCTCTTGCAATGAAATCTTACACATTTGTGTCTTGATATTAAGGCTGCAGAATTGGTCAGCTGTGGTGGGTGTTGAACTCCTGCCTTTCCACTAGGGACAATGGAAAGACTCCACTACTAGCTGGCATCTGGCTGAGGGAGGAAGAAACTGCTCCATTAGTGGCATCTGGGTGAGGACAGGCCATTCTGTCACCCTCAGGGAACAATTATTAGAGACAAGAGAAACTGAAAGAAGTGCTAGATGAAGTGCACTCATGCCCACGCTTCCATCATTCACATCTTGATTGCACTCCCAGTTTGGGAGGGCATCATTTGGCCCTTTCTTCCAGCCCCTTTTCAGTCCTGGCAATCAGAACCTAATGCCAAGTGGGTGCCTGCTTGACTTTCTGCACCTGCATCCCACATCAGTGCGCAGCCTGTGAAACCTGAAGTAGCACCCATGAAGTAGGTGATGTTTGTGGAATGGGTACAGCCCATTAGACTCTGCAGTAAATCTTACTGTGGAGGTTCAGAAGTCTCTCAGCTTGCTCCCTCAGTGTGATGTTCATTCATTCTAACTTTCTGTCTTGGTGCAACTGCCTTCTTTTTCCTGTCCTCTGTTCATTCTATGCTAAAGTTCTGCCCTGGGTAGCAAACACCTCTCTGCTTTGACTCATGCCATATATCCAAATGTCAAAATTCAATAAAGGATTTCCCTGGTCTTATCTGGAATCAAGGTAAAGAGTGTGTTTCACACAACACAGTTTTCCTGCTCTCTCAGTTTTCCAAGGTATATGTTCTATGTGTTTGAGAGGTGCCTTCCTACCTTTAATATTAAGGGGAGTGAGGTCATAGCAGGAGATGTACTCTTTCTGTGCTTGTGCTGTATTGCACACCTGAGCTTGATTTAGTTTGTGAGCTCTGCTGTTGCTTATCCAGTTTTCCTTTCCCTGATTTCCCTCATCTCATAAAGCAAGTATAACTAATTTGAGTTGTAAAGCTTGCATTTTCTGCTGCTTTTGCTTTGTTTAGCAGAGGCCTTTACTCACGGATAGAGAATGATCCAAGGCTCTGGGAATTTTCTTGCTCATTTCTGTAAGACTGTATAAAGTTTTCTTTGGTTTGTTTTACAGAGAAAAGAAGTTTCAATTTAAGACAAACTTAATTGAAATTTAACCCTGCTAAGAAAAAGATTTGAAATTTTGTTTCCTTATTTTGTATGATTTTTTTATCCTGCACAGTCCAGGAAAATTCTTCTCAGTCAGGATGTATTTCACATACCCCAGAGGTTCTGTAGAACTTTGCTCTACAGCGTGGCCATTTTGGCCAGGCTTTACAGCATTGACACTACTAAGCTAGAAATGTTTCTATCCCAAATGCTTTGTCTGCATCATCTTTGCCATACTATTTCATCATACACCCCTGTTTTGTCTTATCCATAATTTTTATTTGGGTCATTTTTCTTTTTGCAGGTAGGTGCCAGAGTTTGACTGTTATATGCTTTATAAATATGGGGGTTTTCCCCCCTGTACTGCATAGCTCCAGTCTTGCTCCTGATGTACGAGTGTGATCAAGCAGGGATCTGTATGGTGAAAAAGTTCTTCATGGTGTGAATTGTGGGATCAAAACATAGATTTTTAATTGTCAAGTACGGGTGTGCTGCACTAAGAAGTTATATCCTGTCCTGTTATTTAAACATTTGTATGTTTGAATCAGAACAGTGGAAAGCTGGAATGTTTTGGCTGAATTGTCTTCAAGATTGTTACAGATGCAAGATCTGCTTTGTGTTTCCTTATGTCAGGAGATTTCATGTCTTTCTTTTCTAGATTTGAACGTATTCATACTAAGAAAGGGAACTACAGTAAGTCACTGGTTTCAAACCAGGAAGAGGTAGATGATTTAGCAACCTTGGAGGTACTGGATGAGGTAAGAACCTCCTTTTTCACATTTCCTGAAGAGAGGTAATCATGTACTAAAACACAATGGTATACTGTTGATTTTCAAGTTCAACGATCTTGTCACACTTCAATTGTGTACTGTAACTGCTGGTTATTCTGTTCCAGTGGGAATAGGGCCTAAATATCTTCACATGTACTTCAGAATAGTCTCAAGGCTGGTTTGAATTTCTTCATCCAGTTCTTTGTCCTGTTTTGATTGGAAACCTAACCAGCCACTTTACATACTCAGCTCTGTATGCAGAAGAAGGTGAGGGAAATTATGTCAAGAAATTGAGTATGCCGCTAATGGGCCCTTCTTTGCTCTTGGTTCAGGTGGAACTCGCTCTACAGCAGCAGAGAACAATCACAGCAGATACTGGTTGTTAATATAGAAAGATACCTGATTGTTTACATTAATAGAATCCAAACAATTGAACATCCGTGTTATAGCATAACTGAGAGTACTGTTAGGGCTGCTGTAATGGCAGCTATGAATTCAAGCATATGGCTTTTACTTGAGTTACATGAAGCTGTAGCATTAGAAATGAAAACAGGACTGTCTCATGGAAACCTTTGATTAACTGAATTAAAGCAGTACTTATTAACTCATTTTTCTACAGCTACTTGGGGTTCTATAAGTATATACTGTGAGTTTGGACACAAGAAATTAGGAATGCCAGTGTGTTTGAAAGCATTACTCACTTTTGATCATGATCAGTTGCATTCCTGACTATTAATACCTTCCCTTTTTATCCTCAGTCATTGTAACTATATAAATATTGTCCTAATATTCTTTTTTCCCCCATGTGATTCAATGCTCCTATTCTTTCTCCATCAGAATACAGTAACAGAGCAGTTGCAGAAGGGTTACGCCAAGGATCAGATCTACACGTATGTTGGGGACATTCTCATCGCTGTCAATCCATTTCGGAACATAGATATTTATTCTTCACAGGTATGAAAATCTACATTTGGTTCTTTTAAACTAGCTCTCATTTCCATTAAAATACAAATATTTGAGTTAAACATACAATGGGACCATTCTTGGGATTTACTTCAGATCACTCTGAAAAACAGGATTACCAATGCAGTTATCCCTTCAATTGCATGTTGACACACATCTTTATCGTGTGCTGAATGTCAGCACAGAAATAAAAACCTCAAAAAAAAAATACAATTCTTATATGTCTATATTGTAGATCTTGTCTATAATGCGTCTAAAACACAAACATCTATATCTGAGCAAGTCATCTATTTTAACCAGTGGATAGAAACAGCATTTTTGAGGTTGTTCATCTTCTAGTAACTTTCAGTATTCATTCTAGGATGAGATAAATTGCACTAAACTTCATGAGATTTGTTGACTAGAACTACACAGAGTGTAAAGGTACTGGCTGCTTTAACAGTGAGTTCAGAAGTAGTATCTGTACAGATAAGCGCATTTATTCATGAATCTTACCCCTCTTTATGGGAGGGAGCATTTCTTCACCTCTACTTCCTATGGAGAACTTCTGTGAATGGCTGGAGGTAGGAGATTGGAGCGTTTCCTTCCAAGAGAGCTGGGGAAGCCATAGCTATTTAATTGATCAAACAGTTCACAAAGCAACCCTATATAATTTTAACTTTTGTGAATTTGCCTCCCCATTATACAAAAGGGGACAGATGGGAAAGTCTGATCATACCATCATTTGGCATTATTGGTTATCAGATACTACAGGTACAGAAAAGATCTTAAGCTTCTATATCAATATCATACAGAAATACTAAAAGGATGTGAAGTACAAATGAAATTATGAGTTGGTGCCTGGAATCATTAAATTTTCTTCTAATAATTAGAGTTTCATAGCATAATCAGGGCTGACATCATATAAAATTGTGCTTCAACTTTTTAAGCTGTTCTTACAGTACTAAATACATATAGATTCATGGTGTAGTGAGTGCAGTAACACGTCACTCAGAAAACATCACTGCTGGTAACCTCAGCATGCTGAACACTAATCTGAAAATAAAACCAAACTCTGATTAAAAAAAAAAAATTAAGGGACACTGATAATGTTTTCATTTTGCTTACCCTTAGCATTCCAAACTGTATATTGGAGCAAAACGGACTGCCAACCCTCCTCATATTTTTGCTGTTGCTGACATAGGTTATCAGTCCATGGTGACATACAACTCCGATCAGGTAAAGATGAGGTGTCTTGATTATATCCTTTGCTGGGCTGAGAGATAAGTAATGAGCTCAGAGTCATGCTCTTGTTCTCTGCAGTGTATCGTTATTTCTGGAGAAAGTGGAGCTGGCAAGACACAGAGCGCCCATCTTCTGGTTCAGCAGCTCACTGTCCTGGGCAAGGTATGTTTCAGAGAGGATTATTCTGCAAGTTTTTTGCTATTTTAGGCCCAGTCAACTGATCCTACAGACGGGGCATTGGTAGGGGGGCAAGACTGTAATATATTTTCCAAAGAACTTCTGTAAGGTCAGATGGGAACATGATGCTGATCTATCTACCCCTTCCTCCCTCCTGGACAAGGGCAATGTGAAAATATTTTGGGCATTCTGCAAGGAAGTACCCACTGCAGTGAGGGCTGTGGCTCAGTCTGTCCTTTGTTTAACTGAGCGTCTTCAAATCACCCAAACTGTACGGAATAAAATCTTCTTCTGGCTTTTCACCTCCTTCCACAACCAGATTGCTGTCAGTGGGACAGGGTCATTGTGGGAATCGACCACCAGAACTGTCTAAATAAAATGCCATTTTTGCATGTCCCAGGTGTGATGCAAGCAAACTGATCTATTGGTATGGTGCTGCACAGCACTCAGCAGATGCTACCAAGGACCCTAAAAGCAGACCAGCCTGCTCAGAGTGCTGGACCACAGAAATTGATTAGTTCTGGTTGTTGTTGTTATCCTTATGTGTGTTCACTCTTCCAGCCAGCCATTAGTTCTGCAGATTGCTATATTCTGAGAGGTTTCATGATATATACGTGCCTTCTTTCCCATAAGATTCACATGGGAATGGCTGCTGTGATGATGTTGCACTTCAGAATACCAACTAGAAGTGGAAAGAAACACTTAAGAACGAATGTATTTCAATGATTGCTGATAATTTTAGGCAATATATTTTTCATATGCAGGCTAATAATAGGACTCTACAGGAGAAGATCCTCCAGGTGAATAACCTTGTAGAAGCATTTGGGAATGCAGGCACTATCATCAATGATAATTCAAGCAGATTTGGAAAATACTTGGAAATGAAATTCACTTGCGGTGGCACTGTAGTAGGAGCTCAGATTTCAGAGTATCTCCTTGAAAAATCCAGAGTTGTCCACCAGGCAGTGTAAGTATACAAATTATATTTGGCCTAAATTGTAGGTTACAGAGTAGGCCTACAATGCAGAAAATTATCTTGGATCACAACATGAAGATGAATGAGGTACTGGGATTTTTTCTTAAAAATGATATATGAATAGCTTATAAATCTGTAATGGAGCTGAAAACTACTCCTGATTTTTTTTTTCATTGCCTCATGGGTAATTTAAACAAATCTCATTAAAATGCATATGTGATATATAAAGTGTATCAGAATATGTAAAGAAGTTAAAACTTTCTAATAGTTCTAAAAGTTACACATTTCTTTGTAGAAGTCTGCAGTATCATGTTAAGTATATCATATTTTTTTTTTCATTGCCTCATGGGTAATTTAAACAAATCTCATTAAAATGCATATGTGATATATAAAGTGTATCAGAATATGTAAAGAAGTTAAAACTTTCTAATAGTTCTAAAAGTTACACATTTCTTCTTAGAAGTCTGCAGTATCATGTTAAGTATATCATGTGGATTTAATTCCTCTAATCTTCCTGTAGTATTGTAACTTTTTGTTTGTTTGTTTGTTTGTTTACAAAGTGCTTGTTTTCCATTTTGGAACATCTGGTAGGATTTGGTTATAAGGGGTTATGGACCAAATGCAAAACAGATCTATCTGTCATATGTGTATCTCATAATATAGAATGACAAAAAAATTAAATAGCATTTCCATTTAATTTAAATTATTGACACATGGTTTTCATCCACACCTCCAGATAACAAATATTTTGGCAACTCCTTTTCTGCCATAATAATAGGAAAAACAGAGTTTGAGACCAGGAATGTTGTCAGTGATTTAAATTTTTTCCCATGCTGGTCTCTTACTCATTTTTACTCTTTTTGTAGTTCTGGATGACCTTGTTGCTTGTTTTCAATTTGTGGTATGAAGAACATCTAAGTATCACTTGGAATGTTTCAATAACCAATTTAAAGTTAGATGTGATTTTATGAAATGGTGCTTTTTTTTCCCCAGTTGAAAATAAGCACACTGATTTTTCCAAATTAAATCAGATTTTTCCATAAAATACCACTTTTTTTCCATAACTTTTCATGGAGTTGTTCTGTGGCTGTCAGTTTGTATTTATATTTAGCTACATGCTGAGTCAGGAAGTCAGCAAAGCATTTATGTGCCTCTAGTGCTGTTTAGGTGGGTGTTTAGATGTCTGAATTCACAAGGAAACGCCACCAAAGTGTTTAGCGTAAAAGCCCCTGCAGGAGGTTAAATTTTGAGGCATGAACTTCCAAGGGCTCCTGAAGCTGTTTGTGTCAGGCATGTTCTCCTCTTCACTGAGGTCTTTGTGTGGCTGGTCCATACAGCCATGCAGGGCAGAGAACTGGCATTCAGGTGCCTGCGTTACAAGGGCAGTCTGTTCTGCTCTTCTGGGACAACGTGACTCCCAAACTCACATGGAGAGTGAGAAATAACTTGTGCAGAAATCCTGTGACTGATTACCCAGAAAATGGGAGGCCTAAGTTCCAGACCCACTTCGAATTCAGAGATTTTGAACCTACAGGTACTCCTATTCTTTCCAAGAGAATAGAGAAACCATCAGGACACAGTGGGGTTTCAGAGAGCACACAAAGCACAGCTATGCAACCTAATGTGTAAGACACTGAGGAGGAAGATAAGGCATCTGCTCCTACTCCATAATTTGGTCTTGGTTTCTACTACTGACTGTCCACAGTAAAATATGCAAACTAAGTTGGCACTGGACTCTCATTTAGGCACCCCTATGCAGGGAGGAGTGCACTGGGCTCTGATCCCATTTCACAGGAGGCTGTGATGGTGCTCCTGAAACCACACGCCTCAGGTCATACAGAAACCAGGGGGTTGAACACAATTCCTTTTTGCCATTTCACAGTGGCTGACTTGGCCATCTCAGGGTTCAGTGGTGGTTACAAATTTCCTCCTAAGCATCCAGTTCTTCCTCATAAGGTGCGCAGGAAGCTTGGATGTGCAAATAAACCTTCTGGCCTGGGTTTGGACACCTAACGTTTAAGCAAAGCATGCCAAGTCATAAGGCTTTTTGCTGAATGTCTGCTTATGTGCTTTCTTGGTTGAGGGCTAAGGGACATAGCAAACATACTGGATCCAGTGAATCAGGAGTGTATAGCTCTCTCGTGGTCAGAAGATTTTTAAAAATACCTGGAGGTTATGCAGCCCATTTGATGCGAGTGGGTGAGCGACGTGCAAGATCTCACCCGGCATCTACCAATGGCACCAAAGGCAGAGCAGCATTTAGCTGCTTGTAGCACCGAGCAACCACCCTGGCAGCTTCAGAACAAACACACAGCGGCACAGAAAGGACGTTCACTTCACAGGAACTTGTGTAATAAAGCTGCTTTCAAGAGTCCTGTCTCGGTTTGCATGATCCTTGCCCGTTATTAAAGTAACATTTAATAATAGCAAGTATGTCGTCAGTAAATGTAATGTAGTTACACTACTAAACCAGTTCGTTGTTTCTATTGTTTCAGAGGAGAGAAAAATTTCCATATTTTTTATTATATTTATGCTGGTCTGGCGGAAAAGAAAAAACTGGCACATTATAAACTGCCAGAATATAGACCTCCCAGGTAATGCAGTTTATTTTTGCCTAAATTGATTACCAAGAAATGCGGTGTGGTTGAATTCTCAGCCTCATTTACATTCTGTCTCTGTATCCATCATCTCTTTCAGATATCTGCAAAATGATCATTTCAGAATAGTGCAAGATTTCATGAACAATAGCTTTTATAAGTCTCAGTTTGAACTAATTGAACAGTGCTTCAAAGTCATAGGTTTTACACTGGAGGTGAGTGCTGATAACCCCTTCTTTTTGGTGATCTTTAATGGCTACCTTAATCAGGAAAAACTTAACAAGGGAGATTATTTAAATGCTTTATGTCATTTTTTTTCCTTCAGCAGTAGCGTGTTTATGTTTTAGGATATTGCATGGTCAACTAACAAGGGAGATTATTTAAATGCTTTATGTTATTTTTTTCCTTCAGCAGTAGTGTGTTTATGTTTTAGGATATTGGATGGTCAATTCTGTTATGTTACCACGTTTACATTTTTAATGTTTCAAGGCATTGATAAAGTAATAAAATGGTATTAGTCAACAAGACTTTGAAATCAGCGAACACATCACAGCTGAGTAAAAGGCTTTTGCAAATTAAGTGCATACAGTCAACAAGACTTTGAAATCAGCGAACACAGCACAGCTGAGTAATTGAGAAAAAAGGCTTTTGCAAATTAAGTGCATAGAATATGATGTTGTAACAATTTATTACCCTATAATTTTAGGTCTGTGAGTATGAGCCTCGTCTCTGTTTTAAGAGGAAATCCAGGGTGAGAGTTCTAAAAATTCATTTTGTTGATCTGAGTTTTGATGAACTCAATACATTTTCACAACTCCAGGGGCAAAGTTGAATGAAGTTTTTACATCCCTTTGTAGCGAATCTCATCACTCAACATTAACTGAACCCATTCTTTCTTTATGATGTCATATCATTGCTGTGCTGGCCATTAAACCCCTCTCCTCAAGCTGTCTTTGGTATAATTAAAATAAGACAGGCCTCTGGATTTATAAAGTAGGATGCAGGGGAAGAAAACCCCATCCTGCACCCTAGTTCTCCCTCACCACTTAGGAGAAGTGGTGCATCACAGCTGTAGTTTACCACTGACTTCATTTATCACAAACAGTAGTAGGAGTATGATCCATACAGTATCTGTGAAATATAGCAGTAGTGCTGCAGGATGGGTGTATGGTTTAATTTCTTTGATAAAACTGTATGTTGTAAGGAGCTTTTCACAGAAAAAATGACTCATTTCAATTAAATATTTCTGGCTTCCCTCAATGTAAATATTTGAATAGCCAGCAGAAAATGTTTATTCACCTATTCTGTACCTCCATCCTCATTTTGCATTAATTTGTAGTAGCAGTGGAGTTCACGGTCTCTTTCTGCTCTACATGCTTATTCACAACTGTACTTACTAATATCACACCTGTACTGTCACATCCTTTCACACCTCTGCTTTCACCTTTCCAGAAGCAGCGTGGAAGGATGTGCACAGTTCAGCACTGATAGCAGTTTTGTCACAGCACTGGAGACCTTGCTAAGCCCTAATTTATATCATGAAAAGAAGCAAGTCTGTTTTTATTCCCAGTTCTTTTGTTCACTTTGATGGATGGAAACAATAATCCTGATCATCCAAAAGAGAAGACTGTATTGAAGATCCAGTTAGAACTAGGTCACTGGCCGCATTGTGCAGTTCTAGCATGCCTCTTCACTTGATTAACTCTGCAAGCCACTGTGAGCTGAATCTCTGAAGAATTATCTACTTGTAGAACCCCCACAGTTTCAAAAGCAGGTTGAGTACCACAGGCAATCTAACTGTGGTTCCATGGGAGCCTGTCTTATATTCTCCACAGGGTGAACAAGCCTCTCTGAGGCTGTGTTTGCAAGAGTGAAGGAACAGAGAAGTCTTCTTCCCCCATTGAGGTTCTGATATAGGGTACATTGCAGAGACAATTTATTTTCAGTGAGAAGAAGATACCGTAAGGCAATGAGTTCCTTTTCTAAGTTCAGGTTTTAGTACTGCAGCCGTAAGCTTTGACATTGATCCCAGTGCAGAGAGGAGGTTCTGTATAAGCATGTTCCATGTTTTACTAGCAGAAAACCTTGTATGGAATATCTTCTCCACTCCAGTTAAAACTGAGACCTAAACAAGGCTTTATTTCTTTGAAATTTGTTTTTAACTGACTGGCAGGCCTTAATAGTAACTGCTGTCAGTACTCCCTGACTTAAAATCACACTGTTTTATTTCAGGCTGCATGGCAAAATTAATAGGAAAGGCCTGCCTGAGGTGAACAATAATCATGCTGTATGAGACAGACCAAGCCAGATTTTAAACACACTGGAAAAGGGCACCAAAATGTCAGCAGCTATACACTCTGTACAGCATAATGGCAGAAGTTAAGCTATCCATTTCTTTGCATTTCATCTGTGTCCCTAAGCTTAAAATGAAAATGATCGCTTAAAACCTAGGTAAACCGTGCTCCAATTATCCTGAGCATAATTTTTTCGATTGTGCTTATCTAGTTTGCCTTGCTGTCACTGGAATAACTAATTTATTAACTGCTAGATTAACTTCTGAAAGTGTTGAAAACAAGGTCAATTCTTCTAGAGCAATTAAGGGCTTTATCTGAGTAAATGATGCCTGACATGGTACCAGCAAACTACTGAATAGTAGGCATAAAACACTGCGCAATTTTGAAAAGTCCATCATTATAAAATACCAATCAAATTTACAAAACTGGTTCTTATAAAACTGCTATAAAAATTCTAAAACTGGTGTTTATAAAATATACTATTACTGCATGGCTCAGAATATATCGTATCACAGACTCCAGCTTAAAAACTAGTTTTTTACAGGAACACCTCGGCATTTCCGAGTCAAAAATACTCAGAAGTGATCAAGTATACTGATAAACATTCACAATTCAGATGAACATTCATAGTTCAAATCTAAGTCAAACCTGCAATGAAAGCATTATTTCACTAATTGCAAATATGATTTTGTAATCTATAAGTACTTAAAATCATTTACTGTATATATCACTTCACCGTCAAAACTAATATTAGCCCTTTTTCAAGGCAGAATCCCTCTTCAGAACCTACTAAATAATTTTAAATTTAAATGTGTTTAAGTAAAGTCCATACCGAAGCACTTTGGTGAGTACACAGTTCATGTGTGACATTATGAGGGGTAAAGTGCTTTGCCAAATCAGAGATGTGAGGTCTCATTCTTCTCCCAGTGAAACTTCTTGCTAAAGCATTGGTGAAGTTGTTGCAGGCCTATTATTTGGAGTGCCTTTGTAACGTAGATGCAGATTTTTTTATCTTTTGTTGATCTAGATGTTACATTTTTAGACAGTGTTATGCCTGCAGACACAGTGAAGTGTGGGTATAAATAACCCCTGAATTCCTTCTGTGTAAGAGGATTACGCTCACCACTGTTTTGTGCTTCCCCTACTCCATGTCAATCCTGTTCTGTAGACAAGTATAGAAGAGATTGGGCTACAGTTTGTCTTGCACTCTTTGCATGTCTTACACTTGAAAGACTATGCTGAGAAAAGCATTCCTAAAAGTCATGGGCGTGTGGCAGACAAGAGAAGCAGTGATTGTTCCAGGCTTAGGAACAACACATGCATGCCTGTCACACAAACCAAAGTGACAAATCTCTCCATCTCTTAAATGTTATATCTTTTTTAATGCACTTTGCAGGAACTTGGAAGTGTGTACAGTGTCCTGGCTGCCATTTTAAATGTGGGTAACATTGAATTTTCTGCGGTGGTGTCTGAACATATGATTGACAAGAGCAACATTTCCAATCCAGTAGCCCTTGAGAATTGTGAGTGGTTTTTCTCGATTTAAGGTTGTTTTCATTAAGTGTTTTGATAGCACATTTCTTTTATTGCAAGAGAGTTATCAATGAAAACTGTATTCACATGGAAATTTTGCAAAAAAAATTAAATGCTGAAGATAGATTAATTCCAAGCCCACCTGAATTCAAATCCAACAAGAAAAAATTGTTTATGTTATGCACCTTATTTAACTAACCAGTTCAATGGCATTCAGGAAACATGACTAATACTGCAGATGCCTGAAAAGAAAATCTTTGGAATTTTTCCAAGGTTATTTGAACATTTGATGGAGAACCTCATTAACACTTTGAATAGTTTTTTCCCCAGTTTCTTTCTCAGATAGTTATTACTTGTTGCCCATATGTGCCTGTTGAAATATGGCTTACATTCTTTGCAAGGGATAATTTACATTATAGGCCACAGGAAGGCAGAGGAGGCAAAGGGGCAAAGATTCTAATGGAAGCTCATACTCTTTCTCAGTAATTATAGCTGGGGAGATAATGAGGTCTTCGTGCTATCTTCTTACACGTTTCCTGCCATAGATATAAAAATACTGTGCAACCAGGAAAGAAGCGCTCTTTTTTGGAGGAAAAGGAGGACCACAATGACTTATATGGATGGATTACAACCTAGAGGGATATTCACACCTCACAACTTAGAGATTCCTGACATAGTCACCTAGATTCCCTAGCATTCTCTGTAGACAGTTTGGAGAAATAGCCTTCTTGATAAAGCAATTTAGAACCTAAAGGCCTCTACTTTGATTCACTTACTCATTGACTGCAGTGGAAGCTGGGAAGGCTGGTGACTAAATTAGATACTGACAGCTGTTTGGTGTGAAAACCCTCATTAGTCATAGTTCAAGACTTTTATTTGGCCCTTATTCATAATACGTTGCACTTGCAGCCTTGATTGCAAAAATGCCTATTTTTCCTTCCAAAGACTGCCTCTGAGCTGTGCCTGTGACCTTCCTTCCTAGGTGCGTCCTTGCTGTGTATTCAGGCAGATGAACTGCAAGAGGCCCTCACCTCTCACTGTGTAGTGACTCGGGGAGAAACAATTATTCGTCCCAACACTGTGGAAAAAGCTACTGATGTCAGAGATGCCATGGCAAAAGCACTGTACGGGCGCCTCTTTAGCTGGATAGTCAATCGCATCAACACTTTACTCAAACCTGACAAACATTTAAGGTAAAAGAAGCTTTTCCAGAAAAAAGAGACTTTTCATGGGAATAATACCATCTACTAGTGTTCTCATCTACTTTTTCTCTGCTACTTAACCACCGTGTTAACAAAACACCATTTTATCCTATTCCTAGTGTGCAGTGAAAATGCAGTAGATATGGAGGATAGCACAGGTGTCTTGTGTTTTCCTGTTGGACCTATGATCGTTTAACCCTTTGTAAATTATATACTGACTACTTTATACTGTTTTTCCTAGTACGCAGAGTCAACTCTTGACATTTGTGTGTTTATTACACAGGTCAAATTCTGCTCTTATTTGCACCCATGCTGTTGCTTGGCTGCTCCTGTTATGAAAGTGGTTCCATATAGATGTGAGAGTAGTTTCCAAACACATCTCATCTGCTGAGGTTAAGTTCACCCTGCCCTCACAGGGAGACATTTTGAACACACAGGCAAGAAAGATATTGGGAATGAGGATATAAAGCGTTTTTCAAATTAATCAGAAAAAGAAATGGTATGGCTTACATTGTAGATCACGTAGGTCAGGGCCCTCTATGGCTGGTAACAGCAGTTAAAAGGGGCAAACTCAGTGGTTATAGATAGCCCCTCAAAGGGGTTTTATAGATAGAATGTGATTTATTCTTTTTCATTTACCTAAGAAGAAAATGCCAATGTCAACTGCAGTATGATATAAAATTATATCCTCTTAATTTTTTGTTTCAGCAAATAAATACAAATATTAGAGCTTTGTTTCCAGTTTCAGAAATGACAATGTATCCCTCAGAATGCCTTAGCTAACATTTCAAACTGAAGTTTTTACTAGTAGTACTTCTCTGGAACTTAATTGGTAATTTAAATTCATACCACACTTAAATACTTAAAGTGTTAATTTGATGTATAAAAGGTTCCTTTTATTCCTTCTTTTTACTTTCACATTAAAATAAGCAGTTTTAATTGTTGTGAATAAATAATATGAAGGAGTCATATTTAATGACAGCAACCTTTAATTTCAAGATGCTGGTGAGTAAAGCTTGTTTTATTTCAAGAGAAACAAAAAGAGTATTGTTCCTGTAGTGTAGTCAGTTTTTTTACATTAGAATATTAACTAGCAAATATTAGTTTAAAAATAAATTTTTAAGTCCTCTATGCACTTATCAGTTGATTCGGTCATTATGTGATTGAGTGTATCTGATCTGCAAATACAGTCGTCTTTGGATTTATATGCATTTATTGTATTTCAAACAAAAATTGATTGATATTTTAAGAGATAACTGGTTTAGCAAAAATCATCCTGTTTAAGTGGCATACAGATTTGGCCCAATCCTTCCTTTTGTGAAATAATAATGAAGCTAGTCACTGTAAAGTAAAGATGGAGCAATAGAAAGTTTATTTAATCTTTGCAGTGGAAACGATGATGGTTTGAACATTGGAATTCTTGATATCTTTGGCTTTGAGAATTTCAAAAAAAATTCATTTGAACAACTCTGCATCAACATTGCCAATGAACAAATTCAGTTCTACTTCAATCAACATGTCTTTGCCTGGGAACAGGTATGTTTAGAAAATTTTGATAAAGATTTAATGTTGAAATATAAAACCTTGTCTCAAGAAACTACTTCTCCATAATAAGTTGCAAATTGCAAATTATAACAAATGTTTTCTGAGTATGTATTTGTAAGCAGTGCTTGGTATTTGCAAGTAAAATGCCTACATAAAGTGCATTAAACTTGAAATTTACAGTAACTAAGCAACATAATACAGTGATAATAAGTTTGATGTGAATGCAGTGTTGTTTTCTTGAGGAGTAACGAGTGATGTGATGTATGGTTCTACAGTAAAAAAATAAATGAGTGGTAGCGTAATTTTTAAAGTGCAGCATTCATAATAGCTTACTAAGAAGCTTAGTGAACATTGAAATTCCATTATTAAAACCAGAAAATCTTGCAATTATTTTCTTCTTTTTCAGGAGCTAGATCATCTAAGCTAAGTAATGAGGGATTTCATCTAAAGAATTTTATCTAAAACAGAGAAAAGGAATAAAATTATAATAATAATAAAAGTTTATGAAATTGAAGTGGGGAGTGAAAAACCTCAAAAAAGATCTTCTCAACTTTGTAAATAATTCCCTGAGAATTAAATTAACCATCTTTAAATCATTATTTAATATTTATCAGTCAAGACCAAGGCAAAGAAGACAAGTATCTCAGCCTTTTCCATGTCTTCCACACCTGTGTCTCTCCAGTTTAGAGACCAGGATGTCATGTGGGACAGTGTCAAACACTTTGCCTAAGTCCAGGTAGATGGTCATGTGGGACAGTGTCAAACGCTTTGCGTAAGACCAGGTAGATACAGAATATTTTGGCCAGACCTATATTAATGTAGAGGTTTGTGCTGTCACCATCTGGCAGGAACAATTTGCTCTCTTGCACGTGCCCCACTGCAGGGAAATCAGTGGAGTTATTTTGCTCCTGAGGAGATGAGGGAAAAAAATGAACCTCTGATTTTGACAACATACAGCTTACTCATTTCTTCTTGTGAGAAATTAGTGTGACATTTACAGAGCTTATGAAAGCAAAGGTGAATCTCTAAGTTTGGTGGTTTTACCTACTCCTGCTCATTCTCTCATCGATTTCATTAACTCCCATGCACGTAACAAAGCATCAGGATGTGTGTGTTCAAGTGATCTGGCCAGGATCATTTGTGAGTAACACAGAGGATAAGAAACACCAACTAGCAAGTTGTCATCATGTTTCTTGCTGAAATAGTTTTTGGACAGATCTCTTACACCCTTTAGCAATCAGCAGTTGTTATGGGGTGGTCTTTGCCTCAGAACCTTACTTATTTCAGGCTCTGTAATCTTTAGGCAAGGTCAGTATCTGGTTTTGCTTGTTTGGAATATATACATCCTTATGCCTACCGTCTGTTTCCTTAGTGGGAAAAGGAAAGGTGTAAGTGATGTGCTGAAACCTTGCAGTCATCCTCCTGTTGTCAGATTTAGAGGGTGTTCCACTCACTAGCTGTCTGGGCTGTGTTTTTATGCGAGTGAAGGCCTTCTGGTCTTCATGTAAAGAACACTTTCCTCAATTTTATTGCTGTGAACAAATGTTCTTCATTCAAATCACAGGCCATTCTTCTAATACTCTTTCTTCTGGTGCTTATATGCACTTTCCCATTAGTATTTCATTTATACCAGTGATAATATTCCTATTATGAGTGTTCACATCCTGCCTGCAATACCGACCAAGTAAGACGCCTACTTTAATTTATGTGACACCACTACAACAGATTATATCAAGCTTCATTATATTATCTTGTAGTAGTCTCCAAAGGCATTACTACGGCAGTGCAGAATGAGCTATATAGATGAAGTTTGTGCAAGTGTGGGTGTAAATCCCCCTGCTTTCAGAACCAGGAAATGACAAATATATTATTTTGCATTACAATCCAATGGCACAGGATGATTTGTGTTATGATTCATAATCTTTATAAGACATCACTTTTCACTTATCTATAAAGTGGTTGTTCCAGTTTTACATCATAAAAACAGCCTTCGAGAAAGCAGGTGGCTTAAGAATCTTTTCTGTTCACTGTAAGGACTCTCCTGCACTAGCACAAGTAAGGTACTTTAATTGTACATACAGGCCCTCCCTGCAGACAAATAAGAGAAAACTGTTTGCAGGAAAATATAAAATAAAATTCCAAAATTTTATATACATGGAAAAAAAGAAAATATTTTCAGAATCGGGTGACTGAAATTAAAAGTTCAGCAGATCATTGTTCTTGCTCATGGTGTAAAGTATCACTTATGTAAAAGCCAAACAAGAGGGTGACCCCTGCCCTTCGCTGATGTGTCTGCCTGACTTTGCACACATGTAAGTGTTTGAGTCTTTAATAGTAAAAGACGGGAGTTGTGTTTGGAAGGCTCATGCCAACAGTCTCTGAGACCTTTGAGTTGACTTTTCATTAGCCCAAGCTGACTGACGTGCTGATGGAGCCATCCTGTTGCTGGGGACCCAGGCTCGTATCTCTCCACAGCCCTGTGCTGGGCCAGAGAGACGTGTCGGGTTGTTCTGTGCTGTCTCAGAAATCCCTGACACGACACTGCATTGCACCCAGTAGATCTAATCAAAAATGACTGGGGAATTTAATTTCTTTTGTACTTCCCCCAAGAGAAGTAAAACTCACAGGTACGTTATTTCTTCATTTCTTTCCCTGTTTTGCCCAGTTCAATTCCATACCATGTGCAATTAGATGAAATCTGACAGTGGGAAGTCAAGGCCTAAACCAGTTGATTATAGTCTAGTTCTTAATTAACCCAATTCAACCTAATAAGTAGTGAACCTGGGGAAGGGGAATAATTTCTTGGCAACTTGATCAATGAAGCCAAATAGTTAATGAACTCATAATGCTAAATTGCACTTTCAGTGTTGCAGGTGACATGTTTTTAGCTGTGGCAGTGGTTTCTTTTATGTATCTGAACCTGAAAAGTGTTCAGTTTTCTTTTCTTTGGAAGTGTAACCTATAAGGATATGGCCTCAGAAGTGACAGGAATGGTAGGAAGGCACAGTGGTACTATCACCACCTGAGACGCAGGGTGTCTGTTAGAGCAGAGTGTCTGTGTGGCAAAGTGGAGAACCCACATCAAAATTAAGGGAATTTATTCTTTATCCTTGACTTAATATTTGCATTTAAGAATAAAGGCTTTTAGGCCTGAGTGTCATCTTCTTTCCCAAATTTAACAGAAAGGCTGAAATGGGGAGTATAGCTTAAGCTAGATCTAGTTTAGATTCCCAATAATCAGTGGAGACAAATAGATCCGTTTCTGTATCCACTGGGTGGAAATGTGGGCTTTCCACTTAGGCACTTATTTTATGTGTCTATAGTTAAGAGGAATGAATGCCAGCACAAGCTTTTGTTAGGTTAATATTAAGCAAAGCACAACTTTTGCACCTTCAGTCCTGCCATCAAGTTGTTTCTCTTACATATAAGGTATTGATGTACGTTCATTCTGTGTCAGCTCTGTGATCTGCAGGCAGTGTTGGACAGCGAGACAACCATTTCTTTCTCATTTGTGATTCTTCCATAAAAAGTAAAAGGTGTAATGTCAAATACCTAAAATATTTTGGAAAGTAGCAAATTTACTGTCGGTTGCAATGATGCTACTTTTTGCACTAAATATACGCAATGTGTATTTTATATTCATATGACAGTTTAATCTGCTTTAAGCTGGAAAAAGTTCATTCTGAGTAAGTCTCTAGTGTTCCCATTTAAACCAAAGCGTCATTGTAATGCTTTCTCAGCAAAATGCCATTAGCTTTTTTTATTAAGCATGAAGACCATTTCCTAGTGCATTAAAAATTCTTTTGTTATTAAGTGAAACCAGGTTGCACAAGCTGATATTATCTAGTTTTGATCATAGAAAAGATACCATGCCATACCAAGATGAGATAGGAACCCAAGCATTAGTATAACTCAGTCATTCCTTTTGACATCTCATCCATAGGAATACTTTCTAGTGGAATATGCTTTAGAATTTCAATGAGCAGCTGCTATTTTTAGGAGCTTTCTTGTCATAAAACATCATGGAGGATTATAGAATCCTATAGCTGATTCAACTTATTAATTCTAATAAGAACTATTTCATTACAGGTTTATGATGTGCATCGTTAAGGCTTTTTATCCTTGCTGCTTGTATTCTAATAATATGGTTGGAGACCAGCGTTGCATAATAAAATGTAATATGGTATCTTATTTCTGAGCCATCTGTCACGCTGATGCCTGGAAGATTTGGTTATCAGCTTGGGCAGACGGCAGCATTACCGAAACCCTCAGCGCTGATGGGTACTCATTCCGTTGACGAGGTGCAGACACAAAGACCAAATGGTCACATTCACTGCAGGCTTGGAGGTCAGGCCCCATGCACTGGCCGGGCAGGGAGGGAAGCAGATGTTGCTGTTCTGGTGTAGTAGTACAGCTACTACAGACCTCCTTTCAGTTTCAAGGAGAACTCTTTTATCAGCTCTCTAACCCAACCCCTCTCACAACCACTTGAATTCGGAAAAAGTTAATTATTAGATAGGTTGTCTTTGAGAGCTTGTTTGAGGATGTCTCGGTGTCACAGAAACACTCTTCTCTGATAGATTCATCCTGAGAAATATCTTCCCTTTTCCCCCGTGATAAGTGTTCTCTTGATAATCCTAAGCAGTAACAGCTGGTTTCATGAACTTAACATATGTGTGTCGATACAGCCGTAGCCCTCGGTTAAGCTGCCCCTACTCCAGTGTTATCTTTGAGAGATAACACAGGCTCATTCCCTTCCTGCCACTCGCTTCTACAGGTATATAATTAACTTCTTGCCTATATCAGCAATACATTTATTACTCTCCTGTCTTGTCCTGCTACTCAGGTCATTGATTAAAATAACAAGCGAATCTCCACCTGTCCACTGCTCCAGGGGAGACATGAATGAAGTTAATGTTATGTGTCTGAGGAGCCCTCATGGGGCTGTAGGAGAGATTCTTACTGCTTACACCCTCATACAGGCATAGAAACTGAGCCATAACCTGTCCTTAGAGTGAAGAGTGTCCTGGGAAATTAGATCAGTCTGGAGACTGGAAGTGTTTAGGTATATGTGCTGTGTTCTCTTTCAAATGGATCGGCAGATTTATTTATTTGGGCCTGTATTTCCAGGACAGTGTTACTGATTTTATTCATTTTGCTGTTTCTCTGTGGCTTAGAGATAAAGAGTTATGAAGTCTAATAATATGTGCTTTTCTGTTGTATATGGCAGCTAACTCCTTTTTGAAACACTTAATGTATTATCTTCTTCACTCAACCATGACTATCATTCAGACTCAAGTAAATGACGCATAAGGAGAGGTCTTGCAGGGTTAGAGGTCTTTGAACTCATTAATATTAGCCATTATTCACTTTTATGACATGCTTCTCACAGTGAATTCAGGATAGCACAACTGTGATGTTAACACCGAATATTAACACAACAATTTTATAAAGTCCTATCCTTTGGAAGAGGGATGATTTCTAAAGTAGATGGCAGCGTAGCCTGCACACGGGACTGGAAGCAGCCCTGCTATCTATGGGAGCACTGTGCAGTGGGTAACTCCTATTGCATTACCTCGTGCAGGCAAAAATAACAGAGGGGTGGCAGTCCCTAGAGCATCATTCTCTTGGTAAATCTACAGCTTCAGCCTTGCTGAAGGATTGAAGAAAGTTATTCTTGTATTCTTCAGCTATAACTTAAATTCTTTTCAAAATAAAACCGTCACAACACACTGCGAACGCAGCATTTGTTGTCATGTTTTTCTCAGTCTGTTAGGAATCTAAAGATACTTGCAGTCTTCAGGAGAAAAAAAAAAACAAAAACACAACAGTGTTTTAATCTCACTGAATATCTTTCCCCGATTCCTTAAAAGGAGTGAAAATGTTGTAGAGGCCAACTTGAGTAATTTATTTAATTTTTAGAAAGTATGTTCTTTAATTATTAGATAGTGTGTGCAACATTATCCTCCACATAAAAACTTTTCCAGGTGTTTGAGGAGAGGGAATCGAAGTGAGGCCTCTCTAATTTGTAGTCACTTTTATAAATCTTGGCCACTGTACATCACATAGATCTGAGGAACAAATTGGGAATGTAAATGTAGCTCTAAATGATTAAGAAATATTTTCTACGTTCCAGAGCAGGGAAGTAAATAGACACTGAGGTCTCCATCTGCAAACACTGTATTTTATCTTCTTCAACTCTGTTTCTTTAATTCTTGCATATTCCTGAAAAGCATCATACTTTACCAAATATGCCATGGTAAGCACTTCCATATCCAAAGGCAAATTAAAATCTATAGCCTGACAGAGTGATCCCAGCTGACATTTGCTCCTGCAAAACCTTGATGTCTTTAGCCCCGGGGCATACATTTTCAGTATAGTTTTAATTTGCTACAATTGACAGTTTGTGAATTATTTTCTGAAGTGGTTCTGTAGACATAGACAAAACATGCCTTCTGTTGCTTGTTACAGAATGAATACCTATATGAAGGTGTTGATGCAAGAGTTATAGAATATGAGGACAATAGGCCCCTCTTAGATATGTTCCTGCAGAAACCAATGGGTTTATTGTCCCTGCTGGATGAGGAAAGCCGATTCCCACAAGCAACGGATCAGACACTTGTAGGTAAGTATATGGTTTATTTTTTGCAGGATTTCTGTTTGGCTTGTCCAGTTTAGGCTATATGCTAATTGTGTTTTTAGTGAGCGCACATTCCAGTGTCACAGTATGTTTGAGGGAGGCATGCATGCAGGGATGGATGTGTCTTTGAAGTTGATAGAGAAACATCAAAAGTACAAATGAACCTAAGCTGCTAATCTAGGTTTTGAATTCTCCTGCCTTCAGGAATTTTTAGCTGCAGGGCTTGAAAGATGAAGACCAAACTGAGTTAAAACTCTAGGTTCATATGCCAAGAACGCTGTTTTCAAAGTTGAGTCATGTTCAGCTCTGAGATTTTTGATGAGCCATATCTGAACAAGCGTTTGAGGGTAATGGCCGCAAAACTGCCACAGAGCCTTTCAGCAAATTATACTTCCTGGTTTTTCTATTAAGAAATTGGAATTAAAACACCTAAATATGTTGTAATTCAGATCCTGAATATTTCAGTGCTGCTGAGTAGTTGCAGTTACAGTCGATTTAGTTATTTCAGTGGGGTTTCTGTGCAGATAAATCCTTGATTTACTCATTTTTGAATGTGTAAAGTGTCAGATGAGTTTTAACCAATATCTAATCACAAAACCTAATAACATCCAGTAACAATGCCCATGCTAAAACAATTACATGAGCTTATTGTCTTCCTGTCCTCATGCTTTATAGTCTACAGTACAGAGGCCCTTAATCAATTGGTAAATGTTTCCTTACAATTCCCCGAGGAATCCTTAGGAAGGTTTACTACATTGTTTCATATATGAAGATCAAAGCTTAGAAAGGCAAGTAATTTTCTGAGGTCACAGAGAAAAAAATTGGTACAAAGTAAGTAAGTGAACCAAGAGATCCCATATTCTCTATGCAGTGCCTTTTCTTGCAAGACCATTATGGTATATTTGTCCTTAAAAATATCGGGGTCTGTTTTGTGCCTCTGTGTTTTCTGAGAACTCAGGCAATATCCTTAGAGGGATCCAGCTTCAGAATACAATTATTGTACAGTAACTCCGGTAAGATAAGCTATGTGTTTCCTTTCAGAAAAATTTGAAGATAATTTGAAGTCAAAATATTTTTGGAGACCCAAAAGAGTAGATCTAACCTTTGGGATTTATCATTATGCAGGAAAGGTAAGAGACCTAATGATATCAGTTGGGAATTGTGGAATGTTAAGGCTAGAAGGAAACAGAAGAGGTCAGCCGAGTTGGTTCTCAACCTTCATCTATTCAGGCTGACATGGAAAAGTTGGCAGTGCCTTACACATCAAAAGTAAATTGAAAAATTGTTTTCCCTCATAAAAAAAAAAGCAGCAATACAAGGAGTGTATTTTTCTTAAATGTCACCAGGTAAATGATTATTATAGAAGAACCAGAAAATAACCATTATGTAGTGCAACTCAGTGCTCTTCCCCTTAGTTCCTCAAAGCCCTGTATCATGCTTCAAATCAGGATCCAGCTCCATTCTTTCTACCACCTCCTACACCCCATCAACCTCACTTCTCAGTTCTGTACTTTGTCATCAGACAGACAGATAGTGCAGGCCCTGCTTTCTGCTTCATTTGATGAGCAGCATCTTGCCCTCCTGTACAAGGTGACTTGCTGCACATGCCTTTCAAACTTAGGAGCAGTCGCTGACGCACCGCGGCAAGATGCCCCTGGTCCCCTGAACCTTGCCTTGTGAAAGGTGGAGCTCCCATATCCTTTTGAGCTCTTCTCAAGGGGTATGGAGTGGGCATTGCTGTCTCACAGAGGAAGCTATGTTGGGTCTGTGCAGTGCTGGAGTTCCCTGTAAAGAGGGAACATACTGCCCATCAGTTCATGGAAGATAATTTGCCTCTTGCATCAAACAGCCAGCTACAGAAGGCCTGCAATAACTCCTCTGCACCTCATCTCCAGCTGAATTACACTTCACCAGCATAGCGTATCTCACTGCTGAGGAATGGAGAGCCAGCTCTTCCTGTACCATTCCTGATATCGGCCACTGAAGATGGGGATTCCACTAGTGCCCCATCAGCCCTTTCCAGTGTTCAACAAACTTTTTCATTAGGAAGTTTCTCCTGCTGTCTAACATATCTTTATTGCTGTGATGCAAGTCCGTTACCCGTAGTCCTACTTACTGTGGAATTGATAGCTGAAGAACTATTTGTGTATCTTGATATGTTAAAAGCCAGATGCCAGACTGCTTAAATTTATAATTACTTTTCAAAAGCCCAGAAGATGCATAAATGCACTCTTTAAACAGGTTCTATATAACGCAAGTGGATTCCTAGCCAAAAATAGAGATACTCTTCCGGCTGATATTGTGCTGCTACTGCGATCATCTGAAAACAATCTGACGCGACAGCTGGTAACCCATCCTCTTACAAAAACAGGTATTGCTGTTGTGGTAACCTTCTTACTCTTCTTTAGCCTTCGTGATGACCACTGCTAGGTTTCATATGACCATTTGTTGATGACATTATACACTTTGTGGCTTAACTTTCCAACCCTAGAATCTATACAGAATGGAGCCCCAGCCATCTCAAGCTGCAGGGGAGGGATTGGTCTGGTCAAGTGCCAAGCAAGTGGTAGAGGCTTCTTTCAGGGTCCTCTCTTCAGGGTAGGGGAGCAAGACAGGGAGTGGAGTACATCCCTTGAGTTGAGGACTGAACAGAAAGGATCGGGTAAGTCACTGGCCTTTTTTGGACAGGGCATATATAAATTGCCTGTTTTGTCTCAGTGCATTTTTTCTCTAAAGTAGTAGAGAACCAAGGTTGTGGCTCCTAATATCTGCTGCAACGAGTGAGCAGGCACTCCTCTATTTCCCTTATCTTTTAGTCCTATCTTTTAGTCCAGTAGTGAGCCCTTCTTCGGGGAGTTCATAAGTTGGGGTAGAGGAACATGACTGGCTCTACAGAAATTACTCCTAAATTGCACCTTAGTTGAAGCAGGTCCTTGCATAGTGTCCTGCTTGCCATTTTAGGATAATGAATAAGTCTCTTTACAGTTTGCTGCTGTTGTATTACTCCCTGTGTGATGGCATTGATGCCATACAGTAAGTACTTCACAACTTTACTTCCTTCTACAACTACATGGGAGATGTACATGTAGTAGAACAGAAAAGTTAAATTGGAAGAGCCTAATGGAAATTACTCTAAAATGTTATCGTAGCTTACAGAAACTGAGGTTTTGGCAAGGCTCCTATTCTTCACAAAGGGAACTTTGCTGGTGGAATGCAAAATTTGGTCTTGAAGGTCTATTTTAAGTCAGAGTTCCTGGGAAAATACTGAGCTCAATTCCTTGCCTGAACTTTTTGACTTGTTGATATCTGCTAAAATACTAAGCTATAATCTCTGTAGAGCCAAAGTCCGGGCCCAAATAGTCCTAGAACTGATCTTGTTAAATATTATGAAACACTGTGTGCTGACCCAAACCATCCTGCTATAGCCAAATAGAAGTTAGATTTCAGATCTACATTATTCATCTAGAATCAGTGAAAATATAGAGGTTTACCCAGAGCCCAACCCATCTTGCGTGTCTCAGGTGTTTCTCTTAGGATGGGATAAATCTGCTCTGAAGGTGCCTTTCTCCACTGAATACAGCAGTGATCCTGTAAATACCTCACTTTCAGATAGCTGAAGTTAGGTGTGAGGAATCCTCTCTCCTTCCCACTCTGTGATATTCAGCTAAGCCCAAGGGAGGTTTAGCACTTGATACCATCACGTAATACGTGACGCGTTAGCTCAGCATGCTGTATAGTTTTGTCTGTTTATCCAGCTCTTATCCACTTCTTACTGATAGTAGCCAAGCACAGAGAGATTACAGGCTCTCCCAGTGGAGAGTGAGATTCCAGAGGTGTTAGGTTATTAGCAGAAGCAATGGCAGCGTGCAGCAATGGTTGGGGTTTATCGACATAGAGTGACATGATGGAAAACTAAGCAGAATTTTCATTATTCCTTTAGAAGACCACTGTCTGTGTAAAACGCTCCAATGCACCTAGTCCTTCAAGTTATCATAATAAAGGTATTACTTGATTAAGATTTCCAAGGTTAGAAGTCTTAAGACTATGCCTATGCTAGTAAACCAAACCGGGCCAGTGAAGAGTAGCTGAAACACTCCCACAGCATTGCCCATTCTGATTAACTGTTAGTGTCCCTCTGTGGTGTAGTTTTGGACCATGACAGCTAGCAGCATCCCCGAAATACCCAGGCACACTTCAAAGAGAAAGCGATAGTTTCCAACAAGCTCTGTGGAAAGATAGAACCTTTTTTTTATCAGATTAAAAGAGTAGCGAAATATAGAGTTCAGCTGTATAGACTTGAGTCATGCCGTGTCACTTGCCCTCAGGGGCAGAGAAGCACTTTTAAGTAGCCTTAAAACTAGAATAGTAGAACAACATCCTTAGGGTAACACCACACAGATGCTCCAAAGTATATCTTTCTTACCTCCTGCAGCAGTCTGTTTGTTTATTTTTTTGCTCTAGTAGGTGACATAAGTGCTGAAGGAAGAAAATTCAGCCCATGTTCCACCTTCATGCAACTTCTTTAGAGCTTGTTCCATCCCAAGGGTGAAGGGGGAAATGAGGACATACTCCGAAAAGTCAACGAACTTTATAGTCATATGGTTACACTGGGGGCACAAATAAGGTGGTTAAGCACAGTTTTTAGTTTAGATGAGATGCAAGCATTTTGGTAGGTTGCTTTCTTTCATCTTCCCATAGGTAACCTGGCACACACTAAAAGCAAAACTACAATCAGCTACCAAATGTGGACCCCTCAGAAATCAATTAGTCATACAAAGGTAAGAAAAACTGCTTTTGTGATTCTGCATTGAACCCTAATTTAAACTAGAAAGGCAATACTGTTACTGGTACTAAAAGTAAGCAAGTAACCCCTTCCTTGGTTTTTCTCCCTCTCCTATTTTCTTTTCTGTTTAGCTGGATATCTTTGTGTTGTGCAATTCATATTCCTTCCGTGAGGTAAAAACCTAACATTTCCCTTCTTTCTGGCTATAGTTTTGTAACAACTTCAGGGGAAAAAATATTATTTCCTAGCTGTATTGTAGCAAAAAAGATAAATTTAAATATTGGTGTGGAGTATAGTCAAGTTCCTGAGAGAACTTCCAAAATTTCAGTGAAATAACAATCAGGACCTCAGACGTTGTCAGGTTATTTGTGGCAGTTATTTAGATGCTCTGTTATCAAATTGTGTCCTCTGTGTGTGAACGTTTGTGTATTGCATAGCAAAGTAATGTAATGTACTGGTGTAACTGGTTTGTGCTCGTGATCATGCTGTAACTTTTTCTGTTTAGAATACTTTTTTTTTTAAATTAATGATGTTCTCTGAGGGGTGCTTTGTTGTGGCATTGGAAAGGGCATGACATGCTCAACAGAGATAAAAATTGTGATTTTCTTTCTTCATCTTATAGAATGAAGCAGGAGATACTGGACATCATCCAAGAGAGACAACCAGCATGAAAACACAGACAGTTGCTTCTTACTTTAGGGTAAGATATCAGATCTTTTAATAAATTTTTCTAGAGTAGAACAAATGTTTATTCTCTCACCTTTTGAAATGCACCTGTTGACTTAGAGTCCACATTGATCCATTTGGAGTTTGTGAACTGTGTATATGGTGCAGCAGTCTGTGCAGCACAAATATCTAGTGGAGATAGATTGTGATGTTTCATCTTTAATTGTACTTGATCACACAGCCACATTTCTGTCATGATGGTGTATGGTGATCAGTATTAATCCTTCACTTGCTTGTTTTTCCACCAAGGAAAAAAGGGAGGGCGGCTGGACATTAATGGTATAGCATTTCTTTAGGAGTTTAAGAAGCAAGAGGGCAAAGTTAATTTGAAGCAGGAGATCCATAGAAAGACCTTAATAATCACTGCTCAGAGGCTGTCCTCAGTTCATTCTATGACAGAGAGTAAGAAGCAAGGCCTCTGTTTGGTAGAGACAATTGCATAGCTTTGTGGACTGCGAAGGACAATTTCAGCCTAAGGTATCATGGTGGTCCAAAGCTGCATGGTACTTTTAAGTTCTAGATGGAAAAAATTACTGAATTTCATTCAAATCTAATGTCTGTTTTTCAGAGCATTACCAGCACATCTAGTATCAGAGTCTGCATATGAGTTAATTATATTTACACTTTTCTGTTATTATTTTCTGTAGTGGAAGTCTGTGCTAAGGTCATGGTAGCTAACGCTCTTAAACAAAGATTCACCTTCAGCCCCACTGGTTTACTGATACTCAGAAATCTATGGGTGATTGAGAAAAGCATCTGCCACCTCAGACTGAGTGGAAAAAAAAATTATCCATTAGCGTGTCCTACTTGTTTGTCTTCGATTGGCACACTAGTGATGAAGCTAATTAAGCACTTTGCTGCATGGTGCAGCGTCTGTCCAGAATGGAATTGCACATTTTAATAGGAAACATATGGCTTTTGACGTTCTACACTAGCTTCATGTATCCAACCTACTGCTGAACTGCATTACCTCCTGGCTGCCTCTTTCTGCTGAGTCAGGTTGAATCTTGAGGAATGAGCCCCTTCATTTGTGTTTTAATAAGATCCTCCCATGAAGCAATTTTACAAAACACCAGTCAAAGCTGTTTACAGCCAGATTGACCTCAATTGGCTTGGGGAGCTGCAAACTCAACCCCCTCTGCTGGCCTGGTACCCTGGTGAGGTGGGAAAAGTGCAAGTTGGGAATTGTGATGTTGTTTACTTCTAGTTTTGCCCTCCTCAAAGGTTTCCTCTTGGGAGGGCAGCTGAAGTATCACCATCAGCCTATACAATGAACAGGATGTGCTAGATCAGAGCAGTGTAAGCAGCCCCTCTTCTAGGGTGGCCTTAGTTTCCCCGAGTCTAATGAAGGGATGGCAATATTTACTGGCTTGCTGCTCTCCTGTTTCCCATCTGCAGACAGATATTTAATCTCTGGGTGAATAAGGATCTTCAAATAGGTGACAACAGGGAAAAGAAAAAGTGGGCTGTAGATACCTAACAAGGCTCCAAGAGAAGCAACTACGTATAAGGAGAGTTTCTATCATATGTTAGACATTATGGCAGTTCTTGAGAATGTTCTGGGTGGAATTTGGTGCATCCATTTGGAGTCAGTGTTTCTCTCAAGTAGTATATGCTAGTAACTTAGAGATCTTATCATTTACTCCATTAAAGTACAAGCTTACTGAACTGTAAATGGGGTTTGGATGTAATTCTGATCATATGAAATAAAATTTCAGCTACACGTGGACCTATATACAAGTTTTATACGTATCCTAGTGGCAGAGATCTTGTTTCTTTCTTGCAGTATTCTCTGATGGATTTGTTATCCAAAATGGTCGTCGGCCAGCCTCATTTTGTCAGGTGCATCAAGCCAAACAACGACCGGCAGGCAAACAAGTTTGATAAAGAAAAAGTGTTGGTTCAGCTGCGGTACACAGGAATTCTGGAGACAGCAAGGATTCGAAGACAGGGTTATTCACACCGTATACTGTTCGCTAACTTCATAAAACGGTAACACTGATGTGAAGAAGCCTTTTTTTCTCCTATCGTTGCTGTCCAGTGTTTGCTAAGCATCAGCAGTGCCTTTAGTATGGTCTTTAAATAAAAAAGACATTTTAAAGGCAAAGACATTGCATGTGACAAAGAAGATTACAGATTGGATGACAAAGGGTAGTTCAGGCTCAAGATTAGTGACCCATTTTGCATTGGTAGGGAAATATGATGCATCTCAGGGTGATTGTTTCAGGCTCCCTGCACATTTGGGTAAAAATTGTCTTGCTTATAATTTGCAAGTTTTCTTCAAAGACTTGCAATTTAGAAATGTAATGCTTCAAATTAAAGCTGAGAAATTGGAGCAATAGCATCCAAGGAGCACGACAGTTTCTCTAGCTCCTGACGTTCAGCACTGTGCATCTTCTGCTTGTGCAGGGTGGATGATAATTTGGTATTGCTGATCTAGGGCTGAAAAGTTCATTAAGTGCATAATTTTGTTTAAAGTACAATTTCTAAGTATTTGTAACTTGCTAAGAGTAAAGAACTCGCTACGGTTTTATAGTTCTGACGTTCAGCACTGTGCATCTTCTGCTTGTGCAGGGTGGATGATAATTTGGTATTGCTGATCTAGGGCTGAAAAGTTCATTAAGTGCATAATTTTGTGTATAGTTTCTAAGTATTTGTAACTTGCTAAGGGTAAAGAACTCACTATGGTTTTATAATCCCTTTAACAATCTCTTCTTCCTCTGCCCCCAAAAATTAATCCTGAGCACTAAATCTATACTTCTCTCTTACAAATAAAGACCCTGAGTGTTTGCTCAATCAGAACTAAGGTTTATGGAATGGAGATCAAAACTGGGAAGAAGCAAGCAACACTATTACTGTTTTGGAAGAGCATGGGCAAAGGTAGTCAGCACTGCACCAAGATGCGCTGAGGCTTTTGGTCATGCTTTTTATGAAAAAAATTTTACTGTTCAGGTAAAAGAGAGGAAAGCGGTGAACAAAACGGAGTAGGTCTCCAGAGAGCATGCCCCTGATTGCAGTGAGACTGTGCAGATCTCCAGCACTGAGGATATGGCCCTAAACAAAAAGGGTTTTTTTTTAAGTATCTGTGTCCTTGTCTTTTTTTTTTAATAGTTTAGAATTACAGGTAGACCTAGGATAGCAGCAAAATTATTTTGTTAGAATAAAAATAAGCCAAATCAGAACTAAGGTTTATGGAATGGAGATCAAAACTGGGAAGAAGCAAGCAACACTATTACTGTTTTGGAAGAGCATGGGCAAAGGCAGTTAGCACTGCACTAAGATGTGCTGAGGCTTTTGGTCATGCTTTTTATGAAAAAAATTTTACTGTTCAGGTAAAAGAGAGGAAAGCGGTGAACAAAACGGAGTAGGTCTCCAGAGAGCATGCCCCTGATTGCAGTGAGACTGTGCAGATCTCCAGCACTGAGGATATGGCCCTAAACAAAAAGGGTTTTTTTTTAAGTATCTGTGTCCTTGTCTTTTTTTTTTAATAGTTTAGAATTACAGGTAGACCTAGGATAGCAGCAAAATTATTTTGTTAGAATAAAAATAAGCCAATTCATTGTGTAGTTTAAAAAAAAAAAAAAGGACTGGTAGGAATTGGTGATAATGCAGGAATTGACATTGTCTCTTTTTTTAATATTCCATGAGGAAATTGTTACCATTATTTAAAGCTGGTACAACCCAAACTTTGTGTATAAAGGCTGAATAACATTTATGGAATGGAGATCAAAACTGGGAAGAAGCAAGCAACACTATTACTGTTTTGGAAGAGCATGGGCAAAGGCAGTTAGCACTGCACTAAGATGTGCTGAGGCTTTTGGTCATGCTTTTTATGAAAAAAATTTTACTGTTCAGGTAAAAGAGAGGAAAGCGGTGAACAAAACGGAGTAGGTCTCCAGAGAGCATGCCCCTGATTGCAGTGAGACTGTGCAGATCTCCAGCACTGAGGATATGGCCCTAAACAAAAAGGGGTTTTTTTAAGTATCTGCGTCCTTGTCTTTTTTTTTTTTTTAATAGTTTAGAATTACAGGTAGACCTAGGATAGCAGCAAAATTATTTTGTTAGAATAAAAATAAGCCAATTCATTGTGTAGTTTAAAAAAAAAAAAAAGGACTGGTAGGAATTGGTGATAATGCAGGAATTGACATTGTCTCTTTTTTTAATATTCCATGAGGAAATTGTTACCATTATTTAAAGCTGGTACAACCCAAACTTTGTGTATAAAGGCTGAATAACAAGAAAAAATCAGAATGTACTGTCAGGAAGGACACATAATTCAAAGAAAAAATCAGAATGTACTGTCAGGAAGCACATATAATTCATGTAATTGTCCTGAATTTAAAAAAAAAGAAAAAAATAGGTATGATTCATTTTGTTATGGAGCATTTTGGAAAGCCCTAGAACACACAAGAACTTTCCTACCCAGCAGCTGAGCTGGTGTGTTACAGGTAATTTTTATGCATGAGTATCCTGACCTCTTTTTTTCCAGTCAGAATTAGTTCTAATGAGTTTGTCAGATTAAATGCTTACATACGATATGTCATAACAGCACGTATATGTTCCAAAAGAATCTGCAAAGCTGAATCCAATGAGGTAACAGGAGCTGGGATCCATCTCACATCATGTTAACTATCTCAAAGGTAGATGATCTAGTATGTGAGATAAGATACGAAATTTTCATGACATTTCTAGATATGAAATAAGTTAATTTATGCAGAAAAGCTTTAAAAATATTTTTATTTTGCCACTGAAATCATTTTCATGGAATGCAGAGAATCAAAGCAGTAAAGAACTGGTGCACAACTCTACTTGAGTTGCACACTTTTAAAAAGCTTTCTGATGTTGATATAGAATTAAACAACCCTCCAGGGTGCACAATGTGTCACTCATCCACTTTTGATTGAGTTTCTCAGTACTGCATATAAATCACAGCAATTTCTTTCATACGCTGTTTTGTTTTTTTCAGTGCTATGTTTTCTTCTATGCAACTGCTTTTATTATTTAAATCAATGGTTTAAATGTATTTGCATCTACTGCTCACTGTTAATGGAATAAAGAATCATATATTTGTCTTTAGGTATTACCTCATCTGTTACAAAACAAATGATGATCCTCCAGTCAGCCCGGAAACCTGTGCTGCCATCTTGGAAAAAGCCCGCCTTGACAACTGGGTTCTTGGAAAAACTAAAGTAATTTTTAAATATACTGTATCTGCATTATTGCAGTATGTCACTGTTAACTTACTAAGCAAATTTTTTTCTCACCCATTTGGTTGTGGTAGCTCTTGGTCTCTATTGGTTTAAAAAACCCACCCTTTCCTGGGTACTGTTCCCTGATATCTGGCTGAAATCCTGACCCTGTGAAGTGTTAAAATTTAGTGAGGCCGCAGTGCAAAGCAGTATGTGACAACAACACTGCTTGCATTTTCTTTCAAAAAATGTGATAGTAAGGATCCCAGTGAGCTTAGTCCAAGCTTTCTTAAGGAAAAGAAGTTATACTTCTTCCCTGAAGCAATGGGACTCACAGAGGGAGAGGAAAAGGCTTTGGCTTTCCAGCCAGAGGCCTCTGTGGCATTTTGCTGAGCTCTGGGGGAAGAGACGGCAAGATGATCCCATATACGTGAAGTGGGGTGAAGACTTTAGTATAAAAGAAACACATTTGTTCCCATACTCTTGCTTTTGGTTCTAGCTCACTAGTCTCCCTGGTGTGCCAGAGAGGGACACCCACCCACCCTCCACTGACAGATCTCAGGGGGTCTGCCAGAGAAAAGAAGCATCGGGCAACTACTGCACCAAATCTCTGTTTGCTAATGTAACAGAAGTGCCCAGGAAGGATATGGATAGAGAGAGAGAAGGATCCTAAACTATTTGAAATCACCTCAGTGTAGAAGAAACAGCTGTTCTTCTTCTGAGACAGCTTCCTGGATAGGTGGGACAAAAGGCCTGGAGCTACCTCCTCCTCTGTCTTCATGTCCCCCCGCTGTCTTAGTAAGGCTAATAATGGACAACATAAAGCCAAAGGAGGCATATCTTGAGATGTGAGATCTGTAGTTTACGTTTAATTTGATTAGTGTTAACCTGTACCAACAAGTGATCAAAGATTGGGGAAATTCTGCAAAATAAGCATAATTATTGTCTTAATTGCACAAGCTATTTCTACATACTTTATTTTATCCTAATATACACCAGGAATGTGTCTGTATCCCTTGCGCTGGACTAGTTTTTCAGGGGTTATATGAGTTTCATGTTTGATAAAAGCAATTTAGTAAATAAACAATGCCTTAGATTTAAAATTGGAAAGCAAAGGGGTTGAAGGTTCCAAATTTGGATCGCGTTTATGTAAAATACATCAGATTTGTGAGACTAGCAAAACTGACAGCCTCATAGTTTTGAAAACAGATTTATAGGTACAGGCTGAAGTTTTGCACTGGGACTTTAAAACATCTTCCCATGAAAGCATAAGCAAGCAGGGGCTGGCAAAAGATATTGAAGGAGAGTAAAGTAAACTAATACCCCAGACAAAGTGCTGTCTTTGAGAAGAATGATCCTTTAGGTAATACAGCTAAAGAGCCTGTTCATCATTTGGAACCAACTTGTAACTCTTATTGATGTTGAATGGATTTGATAAACACAGGGCCTTGGAGGGTAACTTAAACTTTCACCTGTCTTCTTACTCTTTTCAAGGTATTTCTCAAATACTACCATGTGGAGCAGCTAAATTTAATGCGGAAGGAGACAGTTGACATGATTATTTTGATTCAAGCTTATGTCAGAGGGTGGCTGGGTTCAAGGAGATACAAAAAGATAAAGGAACAAAGGGAAAAAAGTGCTATTAAAATACAATCAGGTATTAACTTGAAAGTATTTAACATTTTATTTAAAGCTAGTGCGTGTGTACAGTTGATAAATGAGTATGCATGCTGGATGTGGATGCTGTTTTCCTGCTGTTATATTTGACAAAATACTATACACTTGGTCATATCTATTCTTATGAAGAAAAATTTATTTTAACCAGATTAAGATAATCTCTTTACTGAAGTTACATTTATCAATGTTACATTTAAAAGGCAATTTTAACAATGGAAGGATGTGATTGCACAGATGATACTGTTATTAATAATATTCTGGCATGCTCTGACGAGGTTGTATAATATAATAATGAAAATAAAATGTATTAACCATCCTAGATAACAAGACCAATTACGCTATTGCTGGAGACATCAACTGAAATTTTTAATGCATTTAAAACATCATCTTATTTTACATCCTGATTCTCTTGTATTTTCTATTAATTTCATTCATAATAACTTTACTCACCAGAAAACGTTAGCTTTTATATAGATTTACTTCTTGTGCTTGTTTGCCATTTTTTTTGAAAGATAAAGCCTGCAAAATACTTATGAATATTTTAATGGAGTTCTGTAATTTCTTCCAGAGTTTTTTTTTTTTTTACAGCCTTTTGTTTACCTAATGGATTATTTAATTTTTGACATCTCTTTTCAGCTTACAGGGGTTTTGTTGCTCGTAAAGAATATGCAAATGCAAAACATAATAAAAAAGTGGAAGAATATATTATTAGACTTCAAGCAAGTAAGAATTGTTTGCTTTTGTGGCTTTTAATGTGCTATCCATACACAATATGTTGATCCAGATTATTTGCTATTACCTAGCTACACTTATTTGCTATGCTCATTCTGAGGTATAATTTATCTATTAGGTATCTATATACAGTGCTTGAAATGGTCGATGTGTTCTATTACCTGTACCTCAGAGTGGCTTAGGGGCACTTTCCACAGCTGTGAAGTGGGCTGGTTAAATGCTATAGCAAGCCTTTTCGCTCCTAGTCTGATATGTCTTAAGTATTACAGCTGATATCGTAGAAGCCCCATATGATACTGTCTCCCTACAATGTGTGTGTGTGTGTGCTGTTCTATTAGCAACAGGCTATGTTGGAGAAGACTACAGCCTGTAATTTCAGTCATGTCTCAGGTTCTTTGTTGCCATCTCCCAATCCAACCTAGCAAAATATTCCTCCTTTTCTGCAGCAGCAACCACCTTGGGCCCAGACGTATGCTATGTGACATCCCTTTTTACTCCCTATATTTCTGTCTGCCCCATCCCTGCAGGGATGTCCCCAAGCCAGATGCAGTCTAGGCAGCTCTGAAATCAGCAGCAGGACAACTAGAGAGGCATGGGTCTGAAAACAGCTGGCACAAATCTGCGCACCACTTTCAGTAATTACAAAGATGGTAACCCCAAATCCAAGCTATTGCTGCCAGTACAAAGGCTATCTAGATTTGAACTACCTCAGATACACCTTCATGAGTACATACTGACACCAGTGCTGGTTTTAATCAGTTAGATGCATCTGTTAATTGTGCTGAGCCAATGTTAGTGTGTACTGAAGAGCACTTCACCGCAGTCGGTAGAACTTCATCAGTGTACAAAACAATCTAAAACCAGAATAAAATCCAGTGATGTGCCAAAAATAATTACACATCTGAAAGTTGTCAATTATATTTGGATATTTAGCAAATGTGAAAGTATGAATTTTCCACTTTGCTCTCTTTCTTGATCTCCCCAATGTTTCTTCTTGTCCACCTTCTCTGTCCCATGTGCAGTTTCATTTCAATTTTTTTCAGTGCATGAGAAACCACAACAAAATGGAAGTCCATTTTTACTTAGCTCTCTCAGGTTTTTTTCCCCTCATTTATTTCTAAGCTAATATAAAACTCCTCTTCCAGTTTGAAAACAAAGCTTAGACAGCTACTATCTCATAATAAAGTTCTTGGGAAACTTCAGTGGTGAACCAGAGTAAGTCTAAAAGGACCAGACTTAGCTTATATTGGCATGTCTACTGACAATGTAACTTGAGTTATTTCAAAATAACTCCTGTTGAGTTGCTTTTATATGAAAATGGAATGAGGATTGGCTCAGAAGCTCAAGAAACTCCAGAATTATCCCAAGTGCTTTACAATTTTCACTTTTCTAAGGCCCTGTCAGACTGTAGTATAAAAGCCACTTCCAATAAGTATTTGGGTTCCTTTACCATATAACCAATTATCAAGATGTAGTTTGTGTCCCTTTTATACAGTGCTTCTTACACTGAACCACTGCATCTAGTGGAGCCCAAGCTGGTCTGAATTATGAGTAGGGAATGCTTTATAAAGCAAATAAAACCTAGCACCAAGTCATATGAATGTGTTAGAATAGACTGCCTATGCTCCCTTCCCAATCTTCAGTGAGCTTGACCTTCCCCTGTGATGCAAAACACTCTCAGCAGAGTTGAGTAAGAGCTCCCATATCTACCATCTCCTCAGGGTACTTAAATCACCGGAGTCCTCTATCCACATCGTCTTGTTACGGCATTTGGAGTTGGAGTTCAACAGAAGTCTTTTGAGAAAACACTCTGTTCTTTTTATTTTGCCAAGAATTAGCAGATTTGTGCTGAATCCCTGGAATTGCAGACTTGTCCAAATCATAGCATTGTAGAGACTGTGCCAATTCCCATTAGGAAACTATTTGCAAATTCAGGAATTTTTGAAGCAATATTCTGCATGCAAATCAGTTTCTCATTAAGACATGTAAAAGTGACCCAGGTGTCTAAACTCCTCTTACAGCCAGCAGAACTTAGAGTTTGATACATTTTACCCAAAACCACCAAAAGCTCAGCTCATTTGCCCCCATGTTGGTATCTAGTGTCATTTGAGATGCCCTAGGTTTTCCTGCTTGGCCTCCAGCTTTATTTCATGTGGGTATACCCAACTTCCTCTCTCCAGAAAGTCACCTCTGTCTTGTTCTTTGTGCCAGCTCCATGCAGATGCCTTGGCTATCCTGGAGCACTTCAGGTGGCACCAGATACCAACGTGCCAGCAACTGCATCAAGCCCCTAGTGACTAGTCAGTGCCTACACGTCTCAGGGAAGACCCGTATTTGAGTCTTTATTCATCCTGGTTCAGACCAGAACATTGATCTTGTGCCTCCTGCGAAGCACAAGTAGCAAGTACCCTTGTTCTAGAGGCACCTCTATAGCACTATGCTTCTGCTTCATTCTGCATCTTCCTGCATTTTCTTTAGTCAAATAAAATACAAAAAAAAGAGCTTGTTTGTATCCTCATGTAGAATGGGTACAGATTTCTGAAATCTCAAAAAAGTTTTGTGAAAGAGAATAATTTCACATGAAACATTATCATAACAACCACCCCAATCCATATTTCCTTATCGTTTTTTTGTTTAATGCTGTTATGATTTGACTCTGTGAAGTGTATGGGACACGCATTGCTTGTTGCCTAAGGTTGTTTTATATTACAATTTGTATCAGTTGCCAGAGGATACTTACTCAGGAAGAAGAGAAAAGAGCTAACTGAGACAAGAAACAAAGCAGCAATAACAATTCAGTCTCACTACAGGGGATATAAGGAGAGGAAGATCTTCGAAACGAGGAGGTAGTGTTATTTTCTGTCTCTTATGTCAGTCAGATTTGTCCCTTTTCAGTAACTATACTGCTGAAGAACAGCAATGTAAGCTAAAAGTGGAGCAAATTAGGATTATTCTAGGTATGTATGCAGATGTAATACACATTTATGTGGAGGTTTTTAATGTTAGTAGCCAATTTTCTCGTATTTTTAGGGCCAGGGAATAAAGGCATATTTAGGGGAAAGATCAACAATATTGTGTTTACCTGTAATTTTAATGTAATCTGTAGGTTAGTCTATTTTTGGAACTAGCTCATCATAAAAAACTCAGACGAGCAAGAAATAGGTGTCTATCTGCAAGGAACAGTTCTCATTTTAAGTCTTGCTCAGATCAAACAGCTAAAAGGTGAGGTGAATCACAATCAAAATATCTCTGCAATGTGGTTGTAGTCCCAGTCTCTGAAATGGAACTAGTAGCATTTTGCTCATCACCATCATTTTTAAAAGTGATAGCATTTAAGAAGGTGGAGACTAGTTTAGAGAGGTGGAAACAGCTGTGAAGGAGTCCAGAGTCTTTCAGAGGGAAGGAACAGGTTGGCAGATTTCACCTGGAACTGAAGTTTTATTGATGGTAACAAAGACAGGTTAGAGACTCAGTCTTTTAAATTTGACCTGGAACCTATTCCCAGGATAATTATTTTTGCATTCCTAGCGATAAAAAACTCAGACGAGCAAGAAATAGGTGCAAGGAACGGTTCTCATTTTAAGTCACTAACAAAGACAGGTTAGAGACTCGGTCTTTTAAATTTGACCTGGAACGTATTCCCAGGATAATTATTTTTGCGTTCCTAGCATGACTTGAGGAAGTTTTCTTTCTTGAATACATTTAGGATTGTGTGTATTTTTAAATATTTGAGGTACTAAAAAGTTTCTGCCTTATGTGTTTGTTGACTTTTAAATGAATTCTTTACTGTTTGATCAGCCCTTGTGCAGCCTAGATTGTCCCCCTAGCAACCAGGATAATTATTTTTGCATTCCTAGCGTGACTTGAGGAAGTTTTCTTTCTTGAATACATTTAGGATTGTGTGTATTTTTAAATATTTGAGGTACTAAAAAGTTTCTGCCTTATGTTTTTGTTGACTTTTAATGAATTCTTTACTGTTTGATCAGCCCTCGTGCAGCCTAGATTGTCCCCCTAGCACCTTTCTGTGAAAAGTGTCACAGGGATATCCCTTTTCACTTTAAGAAATAATAATAATCAGAAAGAGATTTGTTTGCTGTCTTTAATTCCAGCTACATGAACTAAATCTTTCCCATGTTGCAATATATCAAAGTGGCATTTAGTACACAAACACCGCCAAAGGTAGTTGTAAAGTTGTCACTATGCTTCATCTCCTTCAGCTATAATTTTTGCCCAAAACTCTGTTCCATTCAGGGAATCACTGAGAAAGAAACAAAATGAAAATGCAGCATCCACTAGCAAAAAGGAAAAGGATGAAGAACTTCAAGATAATGAGGAAAGTCCAGCTGAAGTGAAGAGTGCCCTTCCTAAAACAGAAGAAGAAGCAGCTGTCATTGTTCAGAGCCATTACAGAGGCTACAGAGTCCGTAAAAATATAGAGGAACAGCGCAAAAAAATAGCAGAGGAAGAATTGTCTGCTGTGGAATTCCTTGAAGCACAACTGCAGCCAGCTCAAAATGATACACTGGAGGAAGCAGCAAACGAGGAGACTCAAGATGAAGCTGATGCTGTTACTGACAGCAAGTGCTCTGGGTACAGTCACACAGGGAACGTCCAGGAGCAACAGAAGACATCCACTGAAGGAGAGGGAGCTTCTGTGGAGCAGAACCCTGCAGTAGAACATGTTGGTGAAGGTGAAGAACAGGCCTCTTCAGAAGAACCGTCAGGGAGATCTTCTGTCAAAATCACAGCTGAACCTGGTCCCCAGCAAGAGCAAGGTAACCAAGGCACCCTCAGCACCAATGGGCAAAATCAAGAATCTGCTGTGGTCCAGCACAGGACTGACAGGGATGTGGAAGGAAACCACCTGAAACATGAAGCAGTGATGTCTACAGGATGTAAAGGAATTACAAGAAAAGAGTCACTAAGAGGCTCAAGGAAGCAAGTTGAGGCAGAAAAACAAGGTTCAGAAGACAAAGAGAAGGCAGCAGTGGTTATTCAGAGCAGTTACCGGGGTTACAGAAGGAGGGGACAACTCAGAAAAGAAGGGAAACTACCTTGCAAAAGTCAAGAGAAAAGTATAAAGGAGCCAACAGAAGCAGTACATGTTCAACATAATGATCCCCAAACAACAAAAGACAGGGAAAGCACCAGTACGGAGGCTGAAGACTCCAAGACACTGAAGGGAGACTCGGAGAAAGAGGCTTGTGATTTGGCAGCCTTTTCACGGCAGGTAAGAACCTTATAAGCTGTGTATGTTGAGCATCATACTCTGAGCAATGACTGCATAGCAAAGTTATTTTACCATCTTCCATGGCGCTCTTTAAACTGTGACTGAGATTTTGTAATGAGTGTTCTATAAAAATGCATATTTTGGGCTGCAAGAGAAAATACCCTTTTCAGAAAGCAGGGAAAGACAAAGTCAGAGCACTGGCAAAAAAAAATGTTACTTTTAGCCTGGTTTAGATTAAGTGCAGAAGCTTTGCCTTTGTTTGTTGAAATCTGCGTTTACCGGGCAAGGTCCTTAATTCAATAAACTGGCAAAATGTCTCTCTAAATGAAGCTAAAAGTTGCAGTGTCCATGTCAGGGACTCATACATGCAGAGAAATATGCCTAGAGCTGTAGAAGCTGGTTTGCATCAGCAAGGCACTGTCTGCTCGCATGTGTGAACCACTATGAAGTAGCTGCAGGACTGGGCTGCAGTGTTGAGTTTCCTACATATCTTCCTTCTTTTTCTTACAAAAAAAAATGTTACTTTTAGCCTGGTTTAGATTAAGTGCAGAAGCTTTGCCTTTGTTTGTTGAAATCTGCGTTTACCGGGCAAGGTCCTTAATTCAATAAACTGGCAAAATGTCTCTCTAAATGAAGCTAAAAGTTGCAGTGTCCATGTCAGGGACTCATACATGCAGAGAAATATGCCTAGAGCTGTAGAAGCTGGTTTGCATCAGCAAGGCACTGTCTGCTCGCATGTGTGAACCACTATGAAGTAGCTGCAGGACTGGGCTGCAGTGTGGAGTTTCCTACATGTCTTCTTTTCCTTCTTTTTGTTTTTTTGCCTTTTTGTTTCCTCTTCTTTTTCTTCTTTTTTTTTCTTCTTTCTTATTTTTTCCTTCTTTTTTTATTCTTTTTTTCCTTTTTTTTCTTATTCTATTGTTTCTTCTTTTTTATTATACTTTTTTTTCTTGCTTTTCTTCGCTTTTTATTCCTTTTTTTTTCTGTTTCCTACATGTCTTCTTTTCCTTCTTTTTGTTTTTTTGCCTTTTTGTTTCCTCTTCTTTTTCTTCTTTTTTTTTCTTCTTTCTTATTTTTTCCTTCTTTTTTTATTCTTTTTTTCCTTTTTTTTCTTATTCTATTGTTTCTTCTTTTTTTTTTCTTTTTTTTTCTTCCTTTTCTTCGCTTTTTATTCCTTTTTTTTCTTTTTTAAGGGGAATGGGGAGGTAAATGTGGTAAGGTTCTAAACTGCAGTAGAGGGAGCAATACCTTTACATCATTCTCTGCACCACTATTTTACCTTTGATAACCTTGGAACACGTATACTTATTCATACAATATTGCAAAATCCTGTGTTATATTTTTCAGATATCAAAATTATCCGAAGACTACTTAGCATTGCAGCAAAAATTGAATGAAATGATATTATCACATCAGCTGAGACCCGTGATGCTGTCCAAAGAGAAGCAAGCTAATGGCCGACTTTCTTCTCATGTTTGTCAGTCAGGTAATGGTGAATCTTACTGTTAGCAGAATTTTCATTTGTAAACAGGACTGTCAAGAAATGACTCGTAGTCTTGTTTTAAAGGCCAGGGAACCAGTAGATGAGTTGGCTCTAGCTTATCATATAACACAGGCTGTACATTTTAATACTAAGCTCCATATCAGTCCATGTATGGAACATAGTTTCCAGAGAAATATCCAACACTGTTTGGGATTTACATGTTTACCATATTCTTGGTATTTTGTTTTGGTGCTGTTTAAAATTGGTGAATGAATCATTGTGAGACCTACACAGAGCATCTCTAGGAATACATTTATTTGGTAAAAAATCCACATTGGCTCTTTTCTACTCACATGTTGCTCAACTGTGTGTGCTACTGGTAAGATATGGGACCATGGTTTAAAAAAATATATTTTTGGGCTACTATGTCCAACAATTTACCAAAGTTTATCACATATATGCTAAGAAAAGTTTTAGCTATCCACAAGTGCCACTGAGGCTACCAAAACCTGTAACTCCTACCCATGTTGGTCGGTATGTCCTTAGAATTGCAAGGAAAGCTTTATAAATAATTGGCATCCATTTAACTCACACACTTAGGACATTACCTCTGAAAATACACTCCAAAGTTATTTATATTCCAGTTAACGTGGTCAGTGGGGGTTCCCAAAATGGAAGCATGCTTGGAGTAGGTTAGGTGGCAGTGGGGAGTACTGGGAGAATAAAGGTGGAAGACGTGGGATTCAGAGCAACAGATGATGAAGATCTGTGCCCTATAGAGAGGTCCTCAGGGAGCTGTCTGAGCTGCTCAGTCCTCTTCAGCTAAACCTCTAGGTGTACACTGGCTGCTGGTAGATAATCTATGCAGTTCAGCCTGTTTCCAAGACCAATGTGAGAAAACACATGGTATGCAGTTCAGCCTGTTTCCAAGACCAATGTGAGAAGAGAAAACAAATGTTAAATGGAAAACTAAGCACCATGATCTTTCATTAAAGACAGAGCAATGTTTGGGATTGTCATTAATGGGTTTGTACTGAGTTCTCTATGAATATTTTTTTTTTTTACAAGATTATCCTGAGGAATTAAAAATGCATGCTGTGGAAAATACCTCTTGGTTCTTACACATTTTCCTACAGAAGCTAGAGAAGAGAGGTAGATAGAGGGAAAGGGAACGCACAAATCCCTGTGTTATCAGTTAAAGGTCTCATTACTTACACAAGTGAACCAAGAGAAAGCGTATCAGTATGTTCATGCTATGTGTAAACGGAGCAGTCTACCCTTCACATTACAGGAGGCAAAAGGATGGCAGGGTTTGTCACCTGTGCATGCAGCCCTGCTTAAAGTGGTGACTAAAGCCACTTCCCTTTATCTCCAAAAATATGCCTGTGTTCAGTTGGTTTAGGTTGTGCTGCCTACAGCACAGCAGTCATCAGCATTTCTTCCTGTATGCAATGTGGTAAGATTACTACATGTAACAAAGACTTCAGGTAACGTGCTGCAGACTGTTATGCCAAAGTGAAGCAGGTGGATGTGGTGAGCAATCAACTGTCTGTTAACCAGGGAGGAGCCTTCCTGTCTTCTTGCCTACATTATGTGTTACAGTACAATTTATACACACACATTTACAGAAGGACATGGTTTTACTGCAGGTTTTCCTTTAGGGCTACCTTTGCTTTCCTACCCTTATGAAGGCAAGGATTGTTGAGCTTTAGCTGCTCTTTAAATCATGTAGTATTTACCGATTTGCAATTACTTTGGTCATTTGCATTTATTTACACTTATTCCTCGGCTTCACTAGTTTTATATGTCTTTTTACAGCTATAACACGTGAATTGTATTTTATAGCTGTATGCCAGATCGGAATACTTGTCTGCCCTCATCTGTGGGTAGGTGGCTGTTGTTCAATTTGGAATTTACCTGCTCCTCTGATTAAATATTTTATTACATTGCTGCCCACAGAAGGGGAGGAACGGGGAGGGGGGCAGCTGGATGGTGTACTGTGACCAATGTTCAGATTTCCAAAACTGTTTATTTTCATTAAAATACAACAGTTTAAAGAACAGATGAGCAAAAAGAGTAAATGAATCTTAAATCCACAAGGTTAAGTTGTTCTTAAGTGAATTTATTTGTATTCATAAAAATGCATAAAGCAAGCTGCACAAGGTTCCTGGAATAAACAATATTCCCTGTGGCTCGAATTTCTGAGTAGGTTATATTTGCTTGCTAAATGCTTTCAGCTAAACATAATGGCTGCATCTCAGGACTGCACCTTTGGACTGGTAGTGAGCCTTGGGTTACAGTGGAGTCAGAATAAATGCACTAAATAGCCACTGTCAAGTTTTTTGAGGGCAAAGCCTGAAGTGAGGGGAATTTGATCATTATGGGAGCATTTTTTTTTTATTTTTTTTCTCCAAGATGAATAATGGCACCCATCCTTGCAAGTATTAAATGGCAGTTCAAGTACAAAATATCAGGAAGAGAGTTTTCTATATTTAGAATGAAATTCACGTGGTACAAGGAACTCCGGTGCAGCTGAGGACCTCTTCAGCTCCACGAGGCAGTGAGACAGGCAGGGTTTTCATCCAGGATTCCTCCTGCTGTAGGCTGCCACAGCACCATTTGCATGAGTTTTGTGGGCATCCCTTGCAAGGAAAAGGAAGCCCCTGAAGCACTGGGTGCACGGAGCAGTATTCACTGGCTCATCTTTCTTCTTTGCAAGCGAGTGGCCAGCCATGGACCACCAAGGGGTGGGACTGGAGAAGAGCAGGGTAGTCAAGTGCTTCTGCTGTTTGGTCGTTCTTGGCTACTGTAGTGGCCCTTTGGACGCCATGCAGCCAGGACATAGAAGATTTGTGTGCTGGGAGCTGGTCAGATCCCTGCAGAGCATAAGATTTGGGAGGTCACAGAAACGGAGTGCAGCCATTTTCCTTAAACATCCTCTCCTGAATAGCAATAATCCCAGGCCACCAGACTCCAAAATGAGAGTATTAGTGTCAGCCAGGGAATGAAACTGATTCCCTCAGAGGGGTGAGCAGGAGGACTTAGGTGCAAGAGACTAAACGTTCTCAACTCCTGCTGGATTCAATCAAAAAGTTCTCGATCTCTTGCAGTTCCTAGTTCTAGATCTCTGCCGAAATAATCCCTCTGTTTTCTCCAGATAGCTAAATGTTACCACCCATAAACTGTAATTTCCAAATCTGGCTGTGGTAAATGCCCTATGGATAAACAATGCCTAAAAATTACTAACCAGAATGTTTAAGAGCAGTGCTTTTTTATGGGCAAATCCCAAACTTGAGTAATTGCATCCTCATACTGTGTACAATTAGGATAGTAAAAAGGTATGCACATAAATGTAAGCAGTAATAGCTGTTCATTTCTCATTAACAAGTCCTGGAATTCCAGTGACTGTATTTGCATTTTCCTGATTACTTCCAAAACCCACACAATTACTGCTCTTAGTCTTGTTTTTCTTCCTGCATTATTCTGAGCCTGGCTTTATGCTTCCTGTCCCCGTAGATGTGGAACAGCACCGAATCAAACATGTAACATTTCACTTAAATGACCTGAAGATGGGTTTATCCATTTCTCCAGGTGGCCTAATAAATAGAGACCTCTCATCACTTAGATGCTTATCACAGCTGTCACCACACTGTATCTCCAGTCTTCAGTATAAGATCTGTTGTAAGTCATACATTAATTTATATTAGCATCCAGGGATGTTGATTCCTCCAGATTCTTGTCTTCCAGGCTTATCATTGTATGTCAGGATGTGCAGACACAGTTCAACCTAAAGGGCTGATACTGACTCATCTTTATTCAAGCATTTCTTGCTCATACTTGAGTCTTTCAAGCACATGCAGCTCTCTGCAGTTTCCTTAGTTTGTGGTGGTGTTCAGGATACACATACATCAAATGAGCTGGTCCTAAATTTCATTGTCCCTTTTCTTATTTTTTCAGCTTTTTTGGAGCTTTCAATGAACTTACAGTAGTAATACCTTGTAAGTGAATTCCATAGAGTCAAAGTGTGAGTGCAACTTACATGGGAGCCTTTGAGGTAGTGTTAAACGAACTAGCTGAGATACTGGTAGGAATAAGGAATTTTCCATAGATTTGCTAAACCTTCTTTCATCATGGCTGACATTCACTGTTAAGGTTCAAAAGCAAAGCATCCATGTCATGAGAGCAAAACCTCATTTCTTTTGAATGAGTACTGACTGCATGCACTTAAGCAGCTGGAGGAAAATCCTTCTCCCTTTCAACTTGTTCAACTCGTCTTCCTGTTGGTAAAACCTTTAAAAAAGGAATGACTGTGTAACATCAAATGTTTTTGTTTCCAGTGTCTCCTGCATGGCTTCTAAGGTGCAGGAATGTATTGCAGCACTGACAGCACCTGTGCAGGTAGATAAAACCACAGGGCGAGAGCAGGCTGCAGAGTTCCTGGGAGTCTCAGCACAGTCCTTCTGTCCAGCTCCTCAGCTGTGTTCATGACTAACTGGGACATAACTTTAAGCAAGTCTCCGTGTGTCTTGCTTTCTGCATCTCATTTACCCTGCCGGTAGGATGGGGATGATAGTGCCAACCTGATGTTTCCAAAGTGCTTTGACAGCTACTGCTGCGAATGGTTGTTGTATCACTGTTGTAACGTATGTATTGAAATATTTGTTAGATAGAAAGCATCAGTTCTCCTTTTGCATCTGAAGCACATGGCCAGATCTGGATAGAAATACTCAAAGTCCTAAGGAAAAATAGGCTGTAAGATATTTTTACTATGGAGAGCCTGAGCTTCAATAGAAACCTTTTCTTTGTAATGGACTCTAGAAGCAACATAATTGGCCTATTAATAAGTGAATGATTTTACTCTTCCTTTCTGCTTCATTGCCTACTGCAGAAAGGTATAGGCCATGTGGAAAATAAGCGCATCAAACTCACCGTTTATCAGACTTGGGTATCTAATTTGCCTTCCACCTGTAACTCTAAGTAAATGATTTCTGGAATTATCAGCAACTAATGAGAAAGCACACTGCACAAAGTAAAATTTGCTGTCCCATACAAGCAACTACCACATCAGCTGTATTTCAGTAGCAATGAACGTACAAACCTAAGTGCAGAAGGAAATCATAGGTTCACTTTCTGGTGAAACAAAGGTAAACCCATCAAACTATTTTTTACTTACTGTGTAATTTGGAAACAAAACTCAGGATTGCATTTTCAGCCCTCGATGTAATTTTAAAAAGGAACAGTGGAGGTCCGATCTTAGAAGGCTGGCTGGCCCAACGTGGTATTTCTGTCCCCTCCATTCTGTGCCCCCCCATGTACAAGGCATGAGCCGAGAGGAAAAGATATTTTTTACTGGAACCCTTATCATTATCAGAATGATGGTTTCTGAATGTAAGAGGAGTCTTCTTTGCAGAGCACATACACAAGAAGTGTACAAGTAATTTCAGTTGGAGTAACTGTAATCTGGAATATGATAATGCTTTATGTGTTTAACAGTGATGAATTAAATAACGTAACAGCATACATAGTGATGAATTCTTAGGGGACAATCAAAACTTTTCAGGTATTATGAGAGCCTTTTCCTAAGGGCTCCCAGTTTGGCTTCATTTTCTTTTTCCAGATTTTCATGCAGTCATGATCTTTGACACAATTTTTTTAAATGTCCTACAGACAAGGGGGTTGGTGTTTCTATTGAACTACACTGAATTTTAAGGGTTTTTTTTAAAGGCATTGTTTCCAGTTTAGGCTCCTGTTGTGCTTAAAAATAAAATAGAGAAGATATGCCTCTACTCTGTCACAAATGGAAACTCAGATAACTCCAGGTGGCCCATTTGAAATGCAGCAGGGTAACAACAGCCCACGTAAGAGCACAGTCAGACCTGCTATACCTATTCAAATCAAATAATGTATTTTATATTTAATACAGGTTACTGAAATGAATTTATTGCATCTAAATTTCATTGTTAACATGAATTATCTGTACCCTGGCTTCAAAAAACACCATTGTTCTCTTAAGTGCAAAATGTTAAAAGATACTTGTTCATTCATTACATGAGCAGCAGTCTGCATCTCAGATAAGAAACTAAAACAATAAATGTAATCATTATCCAGCTACAATTTAAATTAACATTATTCATCCTGCCTCCTCTGTATATCCATGACCTTTACAAGCCTTTATTTATCACACATAACAAAAAACTTACACAGCTAATTTTGCAGGAGTCAACACTGATGTATTACTGATCATTTCTCATTTTAAATGATTGTGCCACCTCCTTAATTAAAAAGATGTCTGATGTACATGGGACAGTTTTTATTTTTTATCGTGTAAGAGCGTTTCTGATGGTCATTAGAGAACAAAATACAATCTTCCTTCTAAGACTCAATCACATGTAGTTAGCACATTGGGGTTATGGAGTTAAAGTCACTTCATGTGAAAGGGGATTAGATCAGCAGAACACACTTCAGTAATTCTTTGGGAGCTAGATCCTCATTCCACCCTCACATTATATTAATTTATGAGTAAGGAGGTGTTCTTTCTCATGGACTGTCCTCTGAATACTTCTGTGAAAGGACAAGGAGAATCTAAAACCTCCCTGGATAATGCATTATACCTGGACGCACAGTTCATGGTGCCTAGACCTCGTGCTGTGACTTCATTCATCATCCTGTACATGTCCCTGTGACCTGTCTCTGTCACAGGTGTTCTGCTGCCCTGCAACCTCTGCTTTCTTCATCATGAATGAATTGCTGTAGCCCCTTATTAACTTTCCTGGTAGCTGAAGCTGGATGTAAGGTGATCATGCTCACCACGCTGTACATCTGTGGTTCCTCAGCTCCACAGAGTCAGTTCTGTGGTCTCAGAACCTATAAGCCTATGAACACTTAGCTGCCCTATATCTTAGCATTGTCAGAACTGCATATATATTTTTTAAAAATCAAATATCCAAGACATTTTTCTAGCTCCCCATGTGCCAGCCAATTTAACCCACAAGGCAGTGTCTAACTCTGAGTTTGGAAAGGGCCAGAAGACAGCAGTTCCATTTTGTGTTAAATTTTGTTTCCATTAGAATGAAAGCACTTCTTGCATGTTTGCAGAAAGGTTTTGTAGAAATAGAGATCAGAAGTTCAGTACACTGAACTAGATCATGCTGGATACAATGGACATGGTCACACTGTGTTGCCCAGTGGTACAGGATTTGGCTTGAAACAAACAGCCTCTGCAGGAGACCTTGGCAACACTATGATAATATAGAGGACCAACCTCTGAATCAGAGGTCTAATGCTAGTTCCCTCATTCAGCACCTTAATGATTGATTTAAGTCTGAAAAAAATAATCCCAACCATCCAGGTCCCTGTTAGGAGCCTTCCAGTAGCCATTACCTTTCAGAGTCCTTTTCTGAATGTGGAGCATCAGCCCTGTTCAGAAGGAGAAGCCTGTGCCAGGCAGGCTGCTGGGCTGTTCCAGCCTGACATTCATTACGTGTCATCTGTCCACGTAGTAGTCAGGACAGATAAACCCATTCCCATTTCCAGTCTTGTCATGGAAATGCCCTGAACAGCTGCTTTCTTGAGCTACGACAGGCAGTAAAAGTGGCTATGTGGATTGTTTTTTTTTTCCTTTGGTGAAATTCTCTCCTGTTTTTGCAAAAGCCTACCATTCTGTGAAGAAATAAATGTTGCTGTCTTCTGCTTTTTTACAGTTGCGGCCAGAGTAGAAGACCCTCGCCCAATGCAGAGACCCCCAAGAAGGCCACGGAAGCCTAAGACATTAAATAATCCAGACGACTCCACCTACTACACTCTAATACATGTGAGTTCAGCAAGTTTTTGTGGGCTGAGACTGTCAGATAATTCCCAACTGAACTTCTATTCTAATTGCCCGATTCCCTGTATTCCTTTCTACTAGAACATAAAAGCTGTGCCCTGCTGAAAGGAGGCAGGGCAGAAATTCCACGTTGCAAACTAGATTTGAAATTATTAAGGTTCAGAGTTGGGCCTTAGGTCAGACCAAATTTTTAGTTTTCTATACCTAAACATACGTACATACATTATATGCAGAAGCAGCATCTGCACTTTCAATACCCAAATTAAGTGTCCGGTCTCCGTAGTTTCTTTGCAAGTCATGGGAGAGAAACAGGTTTGTGCAGAGAGCTATTTTGAGTCTCTAAATTAGTGCTTGATCTTGCAGAGAGCGCAAATATTAAAATAGGCTGTATTAGTATGCACACTGTAACTTCCTTTACAAATGTGTCAGATTGTGATTATGAAGGAATTGGCAAATACCAACAGCTCAGGAGACTAATGGATTTGAGCGTCTCTATATATAGCCTTTGGTCCAAGTTCAGATACCGAGGGCTGCTTTTCACTCTTGACTTCAGTGCCCTTAAATGTAGAAAAAAAAAAAAAGGCAAGAAAGTAAGCAGAAAGAGAGAAAATGTGAAAGCAGCTCAGAAAGCAGTTCCAACAAAAAAAAGCAATTAAACTCATTTGCTCGAGGTGCCTGTATCTTAGTGACCTATTTTAACAGCCGGTGAGAGCCCAGCTAATAAACTAACCGTAGCAATTGCTTCTCCTTTCAACAGAAGGTGTCACCAGGGCCTTTAGGGAGAGTTGTGCCTGGCATACCAAAAAAGACACAGCTATGTTTTATTATGGGGGCTTTGAAATAACCCAGCTTTGGAACGCTGATATTCTGGAAAGAAAATGATACTCTTAAAAATAAATTGGCATGTAAGAATAAGATTTGTTTTGCGAAAGCAAGGCTGGTGAGATAAAGGACTGAAATGAAAGGCATGACACTGAATTCTGTATTAGGAAATTTCTGAGGTGAAGTGTGATTCTGAAGGAAATGCAGATTTTGAAAGCCAAGACTATAGAGTCGGGAACATAGTATTTTCTGAAAGCTAGTTTGTGACATGGCCAGCTCCATGTCAGAAAACAGCCATCGCACCGCTGCGAACAAAGACTGCAGTAATGCTGGGCATTAAACATTAAATAATTTTTTAGCAGCATTTTTTCAAATTATTAATCAATATTACCTTCAATTAGTTGTATTTTTTCAAGAAGCCATGAAAAAGAGAAGCATATCTTCCTAACACTGGTAAGGGAAAGGTTCAGTATAAACACCTATACGCTGAAGCTTAGAAAGGGGGCCTCTAGTAGACCTTGGGCAAGTCATTGAGCTCTAACTTGAAGGTAGTCAGCTTTTCCAGCTATCGTGAATTTTCTACCTTATTGGAAATCTCTGTGACCTGCAGATGATTATGAAGCCCAAATCACCTGAAAGTGGAGGCACGCAATATGAATGCATTTTTTGAAAAATTTCCTGTCTTCTGCAAAACCTGATATTTCTCTCACAGTATGTTACAGATATTAATTAGACACCATTCTTACTCATTTCCTTGCATATCAAATGAGCTAAAGTGGTGCACAGATCTAAATGAAGTCTGACAATAGCCCATTGTTCATACAGGGCACTAAAAGTTTATTTGGGGTTTTATCTCTTTAGATGCCTAGCATTTTGAAATTATGTCTTGTACATTTACCTGCATAGGAAGTGCCTGTCCATCAGGATTTCTGATTCTCAGTGATTTTGCAATGGGACAATTCACTAATTCTAATAAGTTTTCACTTGTTTGCAAGAAACACAACTAAGACCATCTGCAGTTAATAATACTGCTTGTGAAGTGGGATGCTTTAGATGCTGCAGCATAGCATTGTTTTGGCCGTAGGGACAGAAATCTATTTGGGATAAGAAATTATTCACATTCCCTATAAATCTCTCTCCTCTGCCTTTCTGGATGTTTGGTGTCCTAAAGGTGCTCTTGCCACTTAGCATACTACTTTTTAAATGTCCATTTTGTTCTACTAAAACCTGATACAAGACTGCATTGACATTAACGAGAGGAGGATTCTCCCTGCTCCCACTGTGTATTCATGGAAGTTCTCATGGTATCACGGTGGCTTTCCCTCAGTGAGACAGTGTTGTCAACTTCATTAAAACAACTGTAGATATTTTAAAGTTTTAGATCTCCTTTTTGTTTTCTGATCTCGACTGCTTGAGCTTTTTTTCACAGTATGGAAAGTGAAATTTGGGAGTAACAATGCTAATCCCATTCTCAGCCTCAAAGATTCTGAAAATAGATTTTTTCTGGGGCACTTGCTCACAAATTAGATTCTCTATATTTTCTTTTCACAAAAAATGTACAACACTCCTACCTAACATGTTGATGACTTGTATCTTTGCATAAGCTTTCCTTTTAGTATTTTTTAAATTACTTTGTATTTTCTTAGAAATCAATACAAGATGAAAAACGGAAACCAAGAAAAGAAAGGTAATTTTTTTCATTATCACACTATTGTCATTTCAGTACTCTAGAAATAGTTCTTAGCAGTACTTCAACCAGGAGAATAAAGCATTAAAAAAAGCATGATAATTTGGTGATTCACAGGAAGGGCATCATATACAAAGTTAAAATATGCAATTTTCAGCAACAAAAATCCATTATAGAATTCAGTCATTCCGTTTAGTACAGCATGGCCCTTTACCATGGCAACACAAGCACAATAATAAGTTAAGATAAGGTCCACATCAAAGATAGTTCTGACACAGAAAATAATTGAAGGTGCTTAAAATTCCAGTCAAAGCCAATGAGCAACCAGTTCTTTTTTGTTAGCAAAAATACAAAGACTGCTAAAATTCTCTCCTAAAAAAAATGTATGACTGTTTGGAAATAGATCATAAGAAATTAAAACAATAATTATTAATAACAGGTAAAGAAGAGTAGCCATTGACATTTCAACCAGAAGTCTATTGCAACTATTTTGATGGATCTCTGCAGAAATAAAGGAAGCAATAGATATAGTCTGCCCTTCTCTGTCTTAGACTGTTACGTGTGCTGGTTCACAGTTCCTAACATACATCACAGCTTTATTTTATGTGTGTTTCTATACTTTAGCTTTTTTGCTGCTCCCAAGCATCACTGCTGTGGTACTAGAGCATAGGTGCTATGGTAGCCTGGTCACAGATGCAAGATGAACAGGCCCTTAGCACTATCCTCTGCTGAGGTTGCAGAATACAAACTCTGTATCTAAAACATGTATCTTAAAGGAAATTACATGACATCATATGCACATAATACGCGCTCATAGCATCTAACTTCATTCTACCACAGATTGAATTGCACTTGTTTATGCCACGGCTTGAAAGATTCACTTAATGTCCCTGTCCCTCATGTCTGGTCTGTTACAGCTCTTCTTCTGATGCCTTATTTTTGAATGTTGAATATAATGTTGAAAAATTAAACTGTTAACTTAGTGTACTTATTTATTGACAGTCTGAGCAAAGTGCTAGATTTAGATATCTACTACCATGAAATTTCATCTACTGATTCCACCTCAAAGGACAGCAGTTCTACTACAAGAAAGAAGAGACACCCAGTTGAGCGCAGGACTTCAATTTTAAGAGCTACTGAGCGGTAAATCATACAAAATAATAATAGGAAAAAATAAATATTGTATACCCTTGTTGATATATTCAGAAGATTAATAAGAAGAAAGATACACTTTCAAATTAGACATAAATCTGGTTTTTTTTTATTCACGGAATTTTGGCAAATTAACTTGTAAAATATATATCTGAAAATTTCCCATCTTTATGCAGCGGGGACAAATGCTGTTACAACTGGTGTTCAGCCTACCTGCTATTTTTTTGCTTCCCAAGTGCCAGGTGAGATGGACAGAAATCCTGCAGTAAATCTCTGATCAAAAATCAAATCAAACTAAAGCAGAACCTAAAAATTGTATTTCTGACCAGTTAGGTTTTAAATAGGGTGGATGCGCGCCGACCTTTCTGCCTGCTTCCTGCAGATAAGACACCAGCTTGACTGCCTCCTTTTCCTGCTCTCCTGTGTCAGCACGTGTGTTCATAGTCTGTGGTGGGACCTCACCAAAGTGGGCAGCCAGGAGAAAAACCCTAAAGGGAGGGTTTGCTCAACCCTCTCCGTAACCACGTAGACTTCATAGAGGGTGACCTCTGCTGGGCTAAGGGGATTCATATTCTCACTCTTGCCAATGCCCCCACACACACTGCACGTGCAAACACGTATTTCTGTATCTCTATATATCTGCGTCTTCTTGTGTCTTCATATAGGTAAGAAGAACTTGGAAAATAGATATCTAAGTCAAAGGCTTAAGTGAAACTTTAAGCCTGCGATGATCGCTGAATTTGAAAATGTATCCATGGGAATAGAGAAAATATTTGTAGAAAATTTTGTGTCCCTTACGTATTTTATTTTCGGTATTTTTTCAGGTAGGGTCTAAATTAGTTTTAGGACGATGTTGTGAAGGCATGGAATTGAAAAATAATAGTATCAGGGAACTACCATAGAGCTTACATCCCTTGGAAAATGTAGCATTTCTAAGGTGGTTAATTACACCAAGTCTGAACCCTGAGGTCTGGATTAGATGAATAAGAATTTTGGCACTGATCTTACTAAAAGGAATTTCTTACCTTTTACTGTGTGCTGCTCTGATTGTGTCCTAACTAGCCAGAGTGAAAATAATCTGAGTAACTTTTAAATTTACAGATTGGCAGATGAATGCAATTAATAAACATTTCTGCACTTCAGTATCTCTCAAATGGGGTCACCTGAATCTAAAGACTATTCAGTCATTTCAGTCTACAGAACTGAAGCATTGAGTATTTTTTATTTGGCAGTTTATCTTCAGAGTTATTATTTCAGAGTGATATACTTTTAAAATAACTGAGTTTTATTTTTAATCTTGCTCTATGCTAACACCCAGTGCCAGGTCACCATTCCAGCCTGTCAGAGATGGCACCCAAAATGCATCTTCTCATCTGAAAAAAAAAAAAAAAGGAAAAAAAAAGAGATGGACACTTCCAGCGAGCTCCACAGGCGGGTTAAAAACAGAGCAAACACATTTACGCCAACCGAGAGTCTGGTTCAGTAACCATCAGGCAAACGCCACTGCAAAACATCCCCATGTTCTCAACGGTTTTATGTCCTTTTATTATGTCCCTTTCATAGAAGAACATGTTGTTCTTCTGTGTTCATCTGCTTTTAGTATATAATGTGTTTGTTCCGAGGTGCCTGCTTCATGTAGCACAGGAAGAGGCCTAGCGAAGTCAGTGGATTTTTTTTTTTCCTTTTTCCTTTTATTTTTCCCCTCCCGGGGGTGGAGGTTAAGCAGTCGATTAGGAGTGTTTGCCAAGGTAAATGTTTTGACTTTAATTTCTAAAACACTTCTGCGCTTAATCCCTAGGTCGAGGGTTGCAGAAAGCCCCCTGGAAGAGAGTAAAACCGAAGATAATCCCTATGACTACAGACGGCTGCTGCGGAAGACATCACAGCGCCGGCGCCTTATCCAGCAGTTCTAGCTGCTGCTGCTGCTGTTCCTGCTGCCATTTGGCTTTTATTAGCATAATCTTTTTTATCATTTTATACCATGTGCTTCCTTTTTTTTTTTTTTTAATCTCCAATGTTTCAAGTTTACAACGTGTGTGTTCATGTGAATATGAATTACTGTGGTTTACAGCCCAACACCGTTGCAAAGGGACACTGTCAGTCACGTATTGTATACTTTAAAAACACCTAATATAAAAACCAGCTTTCTTCCAAATACCACTGCTACATATTAAAATTATTAGACATTAAGCAGCTTAAACCTAGTTTACTTTCCTTAATGTATATTTCTTTTTTTTTGCATTTCATCAGTCTCATCCAATTAAAATAGATCATTTAGTTTCTAGTTCCCTAGTTAAGTTTTCAAATTCCTACATGCACCTTCAGAAAACCTTAGTTATTGTTTCTAATAAATAGTTTTACAGGAAATATATAACAAGAACACTGTAGGGGAATTTCTGCCCATTTTAGGTTTACAATGCCTAAATTTTGGGATGAACTGTTAGTGGCAAGTGTCCCTCTAAAAAAAACAAACATAAAGGATTAATTGGATAGCACACTATGGCAGTTTATTTCATTATTGACTTTACTGTAAAGCTAGTAGCCAATTTTAAAGGTCAATATTGTGTGTATAATCTTTATGTTGGAGATGTCCATTTATGAGAAGTATATCCAGCCCTCTCCGCTGCCTCTGAGCTTTGTGACTAAGTGATGAACTTTTAAATCATGTTTGCTTTGTTCTCCTTTGCATTAGATTTTTAGGAATCTTAATCTCTGGGGTGCCAAGAAATACGCTCTCTGGTTGATTGCTGCCTAAATGTAATGATCACTGTTAATCAGTTCCACTAGAAATTAAGTGGAAATAAAAGCAATAGCCACCATGTTAAAATTTTCCCCTGATTCCTTATTCAAAAGACCTTATTTCACAGAAATCACACAGATAATTGCTGCGCTTCCTTTCAGGATTCGTAATTGCACGTTCCCAGCTGCAAAGCAAGAGAAGGCAGATTTCATGATGCCAGTATAAAGGCCTGATCCTGCTCCCTTGCTTAGATCTCCTAAATCCTACGATTGGCAGCAGCATCGAGCTACAGGGGGCAGGTTTTTGTCTGTTCCCCCCCCAACACTTGGCCCTATTCCCCAGAGACAGGTAACCATTGCTTCCTCATCTTTTAGTGCACCGAAGTAAGATTTGCTGCAATGTAAAATCTGCGATACATTGTTTAAATTTTGAAATCTGTTTTAAAATTGCTTTCTCATGTATTCTTAAGATGGCAAAGTAAATAAAAAGGCACAAGTCGGCGGTACGGTTGGCTGCCTCTGAATCACACCCAGAGCTGAGGGAGCTCGGTGAGTGGGGACGAGCCGGCGAGGCGGGGGAGAGCTCACACACAGCAGCCTCTCGCCGGGGAGAGCCTGAATTATCAGCCACGCTCCCTTAGAGCCGATGTGGTCTGGGAGCTGGAAGAGACCTGTAATAACAGAGATGCCTGGGCTGGGCTGGTTTTCTTACTTTCCCACCAGGAAGAGTGTTGAAAAACATCAAAACGTGGCTCTGGGATTTCAGAGAGGGACAGCCCTAGTAACCATGGGGGTGCATGTAGAAAGCAGAGAGAGACGGCCTGGGAGCTCCCAGGGCCTGGCTGCAAGGACCAGCGGGGGTCCTGGGTGACCAGTGCTCCCAGCAGGGCCAAATCCTGGCCTCGCCTGCCTCCCTTCCAGGGTTAGGGCTTAAAATCCCTCCTGTGCTGGAGAAGAGGCAGCCCCGGCAAGGAAGGGCTCTCTGCTCCCGCGGGGAAGCTGCGGGGTGGAAGGGGGAGCTTTGGTTGCCTTCAGAAACGCCGTCGGGGAGGGAGAGGGAGAGGTTCCTTGATTTCTCTTCCAATCTCGGCTCCGAGACCTGCCGCCTCCCACGGGGCTGGAGCGGGAGGGCGGCTCCGGCGAGTTCCCCATCCCCGGGGGGGGTTGCGGGGAGACCCCGGGAGCGGCCCGGGGACGCCCGGAGAGGCGGCGGCGGGGCTGGCGGGGCTGGGAGCCGGGGGCCGCCCCTCCACAGCCGCGGCGTCGCGCAGGGCTCCTCCCGCAACCTCCGCGGGAGCGCAGCCGGGAGCCCCCCCGCAACCCAGCCCGGGAGCCGGAGGGGGGAGCAGGAGCCGCCCCCCGCCTCAGTCCCGCACGGTTTTCCCCACCGGCGCCTTCTCCGGGTGGCCCGGTTCGACGGGGACCCCGCC